ACTGGTATTTGGTTCTACAGAGAACGAAGTGTAATCATATGCAATTGAATACTTGCTCCTTGAAGGAGAATCTTGCATACATGAACTTTTAATTTCTTTCTAGCTCCCGTTACTTCATCTGGCCTATATTCTTGCATTCAATGTTAACTTTTGTCTTTTTTTCTGTTTTGTTTGCTTGGAAAGCCTCCTTATAATTTTTCTCCTTTAGTAAATGTGATTGCTAGTAAACTGTCTGCCTTGAACTGGCACTTGGTTGGTTGATGGTTGCCTGGGTGTAAGCATTACGGTTCAAAATACTTTCTCTTTAGTTCTTTACTGTGATCTAGCATCCCAGGTTACTGATGACAAGTATGTCATCTTGATTCCTGCTTTCTTTAGATAAACTGTGATTTCTCTTTGGAAGCCTTTATAATCCTTAGAGCTCTCATAGTTTACCAGGTGAATCAGGGTATGAAATGTTTTCATTTATCCTGTCTGGCATTTGTTTTATCCTTTCTATTTGAACTGTATCATGTTCAGTTAAGGGAAGATGTTTTTCCCCTTCTGGAACTCCCATAAGGTAGATATTAGAGCCCTTGGATCTGTACTCAGTGTTGCACAACCTTTCTTCTGTAATTCTAAGCTCTTTGTGTGCGTGTGTGTGTGTGTGTGTGTGTGTTTTACGATTTATTTTTTTTATTCGAGAGAGAGAGAGTGCATGCATGAGCAGAGGGAGGGGCAGGTGGAGAGAAAGAGAGTCTTAAGCAGACTTCATGCTGAGTGCAGAGCTCGATCTCATAACCCTGAGATCAGGACCTGAGCTGAAACCAAGAGTCTGACCCTTAACCAACTGAGCCACGCAGGTGCCCCATTCTCTTTGTGTTTTTGTTGCTATTGTTGTTCAGTGTTCTTTATGTCTCCAACCATCTAGCTTAGTTTTCAGCCATGTCTGTTTTATCAGTTAGCACATTCACTGAGGTGTAATATTTCAGTAATCATTGTTTGTTTCCAAGAACTCTTCCTGTTATCTGGTTATTTCTTTTCTATAGCAGCCCCTTTTTGCCTTATGACTCTAATATCCTTCCATATCTCTCTGAAGATGATCATCTCTATTGCTTGAATTGGCCTTGTTTCTTTAGTATCTTTTCTATTTGTTCATTTGGCATGCCAATTTACCCCATGATGCTTAAAACAGTGAGCAATTTATTGTCCTTCCACAGTGTCTGTGGGTCAGAAATCCAAGCATGATTTAACTGGGTGCCTCTGACTGAAGGTCTCTCACAAGGCAACAATCAAGGTGTGAGCTAGGTCTGTGGTCTCAGCTGGAGACTCAAAAGAGGAAGGATCTGTTTCCAAGTTAACTCACATGATTGTTAGCTAGATTCACTTCCTTATCAGTTCCTTATCTGCTGGTGGCCTGAGGCTTCTCTCAGTGTCTGTCTATGTGGACCTCTCCATACAGCAGCTCACAACATGGCATTGGCTTCTTCAGGACAAACGAGCAAGACGGCAAGAGAAGGCAAGCAAACTGGAAGGCAGAGTCTTCTTGTAAATTGATCTGGGAAGTGCCATTCTATCATTTTTGCCATATTCTATTCCTTGGAAGTGAGTCATCTAAGTTCAGCTCACACTTAGGAGGAGTTACATAAGGACATGAATACCAGAAGGAAGGGATCAGTAAGGGCTATCTTAGATGCTGCCTACTACAGAAGTCTTTCTTTCTGGGTTGTTTTTTTCAAGACTCTAGTGATCTTTGTTTCTAAATGAAGGACCTTATGAGTTATTCCAGGTAGCTGGCCTGGGTTTATTCTGCATCTGTGTCACTTATATATAGGCTTCCTTTTCAGGTAATAGGGCATACTTTGTGTATGTTCATGGGTAGAACGTGTGACTTGCTATTAGCCATTATTATATGACAAGCACACTGAGATAGTCACTCTCTTGATCAGATTACATTATTTGACAAAGGAAAAGGGACTTTGCAAATATAATTATGGTCCTAAATCAGATCCTTTTGAGTTAATTAAAAGGAAGATTTTCCTGGGTGGCCCCGACTCAATCCTTGGAAGCCCTCTTGGAGGTACGGAGGTCTTCCTTGGCGGCAGAGATGCTCTCCTGATGACCTTGAGGAAGCAAGCTGCATGAGTTCTATACCTTCAAGAAAGTGAATTTCCCAATAATCTGAATAACTTGGAAGTGGATTCTTCCCCAGTCAAGCCTCCAGATGAGAATGCACTTTGCCTGACACCATTATGGTTAGCTTGTGAGACTCTGAGCTGAATACTCAGCTAAACAACCTGGATCTTTCCTTGCACAGATACTGTAAGATAATAAATATGTGTTGTCTTGAACCAGGGAGTTCATGGTAATATGTTTACAATAGAAAAACAATACATGTATTTCATTCCTAGTCCCTTCTAGTGCTGATCCTTTTTTTGGTTCTCTTATGTCTACGGTGGATGTCTGATGTAAATCCAAGCTCTTTTCTCTCTGAGTCGAGCTTCCTCATTAGACCAGTTAGTTGATGGTCCCTTATCTACAGAGAGCACATCTTGGGCTGTGACTTGAGGGCATGTCACTGCCAATTGTCCCTTTTATTTCTTTACTTTGGGAATTGGGAAGAGGAGAGGCCTAACTTGCATATGTTGCAAAGGCACTTGTTTAATGAATGACCCTAATGATTGCCCCCTTACCTACTCCATTTCTTTGAATTTGTTGAGTCCAGGCTTGGAGTTCTGGCCACCTTGGTGGGACCTGTGCTTATGCAAAGTGTCTCCTTGTGTGTCTTCCCCTACTCTGAAATTCCCACCACTCTGATTCTACTTGATTTTTCTCTTTATGGAATTTCTTACAACTTCTGGTCTGTTGATGGCATACTTTCCTGTTTTATAATGCTGTTATGGTTTCATTCTTTAAACAGAAAATAATTTTCCTAGCACTTCAGTGGGCCTTGGAAGTGAAGGGAGACAGATGTTGGTAATGAGTCTGCATGAACTCAGCTGTACAATATGGACTGGACTTTTTATAAGAGAAAAAAATGCCATCTTGCTATCTAACACTGATTTAATATATTTGCAATAAATTTGTTATAGTTCTAATAAAATTGATGAGAAAGGGCAGAATTTTTATTATAATAACTACATTCTCATGTTCTATTATTTCCTCCTTTTAAAGTTTCTAAAAGCACATTCTATGAAGACTCTGCCCTTTTTTTTCCCCCTCTTCCCACTTACACTTATACAGCCTTTCTTTCTACTTTATTAGGGTGATTTCTTAGAAGAAGAGACTTTAAAATATTGCTGACACTATGTTTTTTTCTAACACTAATAGCACACATAATGTAAGTGCTGAGGATGTTGAGATAATTGAACTAAAATTGTGATTTTAGAAATATTTTAAGACCCTTTAAGTTCTAAGTAACAGAAACCTATTTCAAACTACTTTAGGTTACAGAGACTTTATTAGAGAGAAATTGTAGTATCTCACTGAACCCAAGAATAAAAAATATATTCAGGTATCATGAGGGTGTGGAACCAGAAACTAGAAAGTTGACAAGAACCCAAATAGGCATTACCTTTCTATCTCTCTTATCTCTATTTTCTTAAACATCTGCCTATTTTCTTTCTTAGCAGACTCACTTTATTTGGCATGGATATGGCCAAATATGGCTGCCCAACAATGGTATCCAGGGTTTCCAAGCTTATATCATATTAGTTCAAGCAGATAGACAAGAGACAGAGTGCCAGATTCCAAAAAGGACTAAGACTAATTGGTTTAGCTTGGGCCAGTTATCTCTTTTTAGACTAGTGTAATTTAGTGATAAGGACAGATTTTGTGGTATAAACATGGCTGCTATGGCCCAAGTTCTCAAAGAAGAGGTAAGAGGTAAGTGAGTACAAGATTGAGCAGATGTCTCAAGACATGTCTGCTGCAAAGTTCTCGTTCATATTCAGTGTAATATTTCTTATTAGAGACACAGTTTAGCTTGTGATTAAGAATACGAGCTTAGGGTCAAACATGATTTGATTCCAGCCTTGCCAACTACTAGCTGTGTGACCTCTGTGGATTAAAATTTTTCTGTGTACAATGGGGATGATGAAGTCTGTGTCTTGGAGTTGCTGTGAGGATTAAATGAGTATATGTGGCACATCTGAAGCACTTAATAATAATTATTAGTTACTACTATTATCAGGCAATTTGAGAAAGATTATGTGAATGGAAGAACAAACATTTTACTGTCTCCAATGGTGCAAAAAGACCTAAAGGCAAAATTCCCGATGCTACAGAATTGCATAGTCAATAACAATCTAAGAGAGAGTTTTGCCTTTACCACACTTGACCAAAAGAATGGATACAGGTGAGGCTGATGGTGGTAGGGCCCAAGAATCTACACTTATTTTTAGAATGAAATTTTTGCTGCTTTTGATTTTTGAAAGAAATGTCAATGGTCTCACAATACTAAAGAGAGCCAGGCAGGGCTGAGGGTCACCGGAATAGGCTTCATAGTTCTTTTGAACTAGTGCCTATTCTGGTGGTCACATTCTACTTGGCAGGTCTGCTCTAATTGGCTAGCGACTTACCAGTGAAACATTTTTGGATATCATCCCTTGAAACCAAGTGTGTATCATCAGTTCAAAGACTTCAGTTTTTGTTAAAAGAGATGCATCTATTTCTTTATAAAACAATCGATTTCCTTTGCATTTTTCTAGCTTATATGGTAAAATTGTGGGTGGCACCCATTCATTAAATGAACTCTTAGTAAAAGATATGTAAGGTGGTAATGTTCCAAATTCTATATAGTTAAATGAACTATTAGTTTAGTTAGTGAAATGTAAAATGATGATTCAAATTCTATATATTTAAATGATATGAAATGTCAGCCAGAGGTTAATATTTACATAAAGTAGAGCTAGCCAACAAGCTACATTTATGGTTTCTTTTTAAAGCATAGTGTATGCTGTTCTATGTGAAATTGCATTAGAACGGTATCTCATTGACTAACTGTGTCATTTTCTCTTAAGTTATGCAGACATTTTGATTGAGAGGGAAGTGTTAATGCAGAAGTACATTCATCTAGTTCAGATCGTAGAGACAGAAAAAATTGCAGCTAACCAGCTCCGGCATCAACTTGAAGATCAAGATACAGAAATTGAAAGACTTAAATCAGAGGTACTTCCCAGTTGATAGATTCTTCCCCGTTGTTTCACATTTATTGTCATCTCCGCATAATTACATAAGGCCTACCAGGGTAAAATTTCAATCCCAAACTTAGCTCCTTTGCTGTCAACATGTACATAGTCAGACTACATATCTGTGCTAGAAAGGTACCTCATCTATGTTAGGATTGAGTAAATATGCTACAACAAAATACCAGAGTAATATGCTGCTTTTTAATTATTTTGTGCTCCTGATGTCCTTAATTTGATCAGATAATCAAGAGTCGACTGTAATATTTAGCCATTTGTAGACTATTGTAGTAATGGTAACTGTGAGTCTGTCATAAACTGTCATAAACTCCCAAATGGCAACTAAGGAAGGACCAGAAATGAAATCTAGAGGACATTCCTGCTTCTACATGTAAGGAGTCCAACTTTCTCCCCTCTAGTATTTTGAAAAACACATTTGAGTTGAAGCATAAGACATTTTCTAGGGTATACTTTTTCCTAAATTTAGCACTTCTGCCTCCCTCCACCTCTACCCCTACCCTCTGAAGGTAAACTTCCAAGGCCCAGCATGCCCAGATTGTGAGGTTGTACCAAGTGAGAATAGAAGATGGTCATGGTGTCGGCAGCCATGGAGGTGGGCCTGGGTCCTCCCACGCACACAAGTGCCTCTGTCTGTATATAGAAACCTGAGTGTATCTTTCCTTGCTGTCCTATTATTCCTTGTGGGAAGCGATCAATAACTGAAGAACTGAAGAGGAATGTAGAAAACAAGATTTTCCCCCTTCCTGACTAGAATGCATTAGCATTTTCTTAACTTCAAAAGAGAAGAATAGAACAGAATGAAACCTACTACTAATTGTAATCCACTTACAGAACAATTCAGAGTCCTTGGTCTTGGTAACTTTCTTGTCACTTTTATAGCCGTTGGATAATGTTTTCCTCTTTGTTTCCTTACACTTTCCTCTAAGACATACTCTGAATCCTGTGAAGGGTTTTCACCTCCTGCTGCCTGTGTACATCACCTCCAGTTGACAGAACATGAGTATAAGCTGATTCCACCTGGGATCTAATTGCTTCTCTGGTGATAAGTTGCAGACCATGTTCACCATATCATTAGTGTTGTTAACTTCCCGGTTCAACCCTGAAATCTGATATAGTGAAAACAACAACAGAAAACTTAACAAACCTGCATTTTAAAAGACTATATCAGGCACTGTAATTTAAAACAAAATTATTGTGTTCTTTCTTAACACAGTAAGCTAGAGCAGATGCTTGTCTGCTAAGTGAAAGAGGTTGGCATTTACTCCACAACAGAAACTCAGCACCAAGCAGTGTTCCCCAATATTTATTCGTGCATGTTTTTCTGTCTTCACTATATTCTATTTTAGTCTGAATATAGATGCAGCCCCAAACTGTCAGTAGCAGGTATGTCTTGTGTGGCCGCTCGGCAGGAACCATAATTTATTATTATGTATTTTCCCATGTCTTTGCCAGAAAATGGCAGAAATGTGTGTTTGGTATTGGTGACAAAAATGTAAAGACAAGTCAGAGGAATCAATTATGACTCTTAGCTTCTTAAGTGTCTGCTTGTTAGTAAATCTGAATAGGTATTTACCTTTATAAGAACCTGCAATTGAGCAGTAGTCTAGTGAATTTTGTTACCAAGTATATTGGCGTGGCCATCTGATCCTGAATTACCCCTCACAGGCCACATAACTAGGCTGGAGATACAAAGAGATCCCAGGTTGTTTCTATCCTTTTTATCTTTTCATCTTTTCTTGGTTGGCTTAGATCAATCCCAAGGCTCTGAAGTTTCTTTGCAGTTACCATTCTCCCAAAGAATTCTGTGAATCTGCTGTTCTCTGTGTCCCTGGAAGGCTGTAGGCTGATTATAGGAAGCAACAGCTTGGGCTTGAGTGTCATTGCATTTGAAGACTGGGCATTACAGGCAGCTGCCATCAGGCAAAATGGCATCATGCTACTCAGCTCCTAGAAAGGCCTTGACCTAGTTATCTCTAGGCCGAGTTTTGGGCTAACATTTCTCCTAACCCAATCCTATTTCACACTTTTCACAGTCACTTCTTGTAAGCACTTTTGTTAGCAACACTAACAGGCTTGGGGTGAAGTTATGCTTCCCCTGCCTTAGCACCAAAGGAAGAAAGGATGGATAAAAAGTTTCCTGAGGATCTCATAAGCTTCCTTGTAGACATAACTTCTATGAGTTATGGCTATAAACCGGTATTTCCCAAATCATGAAATGGACCGATTCTGTATTATAGATTATCGCTCTTAATAAAACCAAGGAACGAATGCGGCCTTACCAAAGCAATCAAGAAGATGAGGATCCAGACATCAAGAAGATTAAAAAGGTAGGTTGTTGGGGGTTTCTGGCTTTGGGGAAGCATGGTGATCAGTTGTCTGTCCTGTAGTGGTGTCTTGCTACCCTGTCCCTGAGCTGAGAACGACCTTGGTGTATCTGTTCTAATGGCTCTCAGACTTGCCCTTTGGAGTGATCCAGGTATGGCTACTTTGGAAAGGTTTTAGCTTGAGATTTTTTTCCAGTTCTGAGAATTGTCTTTTGGACTCTGTGGGAAGGATGCCAAAAACCAGACGCTAAGACAGCAGTGTTCTCAAGTTGGGTTAAGTAAGTGCTGTTGAACCTCCTGATTTTGTGTTGCTTTCATATTTTAGAGGAGTGTTTTTTAAATGACATTTAAAAAATATTTCTTTTAGCTTTAGATTTAAGTGCTTATTTAGAAAGAATTTTTTTGAACATATGAAAAGATTGACTAAATACATCTGCTCTGATTTGTTTTGTTATCGTTGTTTCTTTCTTGTTTAACATCTACATAATCAGCAGATCTTTCTACCTTATTATCATACATTACTGCACAACTTTTGCAATTAGCCAGACACTGGTACTAACTCTATTCTACTGTGTTTGATTTATGTCATCTATGTTTTGAGTTCTATAATCTTAATTCTTTTATAAATTACCTACTCAGCTTTGTTAACATTATGTGAAAAGCGTCACAGTTAAAGAAGTTTCTTTGGATACACATCTTCAGATCTTATTTCATCTTAATTTTTTTATTCTTGTTTTCCATGCTAAATAATTATTCCCCGTAAGTTGTAACAAAACTTTAAATATTGCTCAGAATTTGAAATACAGATGCTTCTTGGAACTAAATTGCAATATTTTCAGTTTTTAAGGAATACAAAATGAAAGGAACACCATTTCTTTCTTAGAATTTAAAATTTTTTATATTGAATTTGGTTGATGTTGTGATACAAGATTAATATTATTGCCTTTATTTTAATAGTCTGGAGTTGATTGTAAACAAAGATATCAGTAAAATACAATTTTCAGTTCTTTTTTTAAATAGAAACTTGTAAGTAAGTAAATAAGTACACCAGCTTTTGCTCAGCGGGCAATACCTAAGTAAATGGAAAGATTTTATTTAATACAAAATTTGATTAAGTTGAATTTTGAAAGTACTTTTGTTAAATGGAAGAGTAAAGATAAATGTTTTTTATACTTTCTACCTTATTTCTCAATAGAGGCAATTAAAAAAAATCCTGTTTTTGAACTTAAGTAGGTTTTAAAAATAATTGTTCTTCATGCCCCAATCAACCTAATGTCTGTGTGGAAAGGGGTGTTTCAAATAAATTAGTTTCTCTAGTCTCATCTTGGCAAATACCAACATAATTTTTTATTTTCAAGGAACCAAAAATTGAAATTTATTATATTACACAGAAACTTTCTATTAGACCTCTCCAAATAATGTGCATGTAACTTCCCCCACATAAATCTATTAGAATGTGATTGATTTTTATTATTTGAAGCATGGCAACTGTATGAATGCCTGCATGAAAATTGACAGTATGATAGCAACATTGGTAGGTAAATCAAATAATTTTAAAATTGCAAAAGAAGAATAGTTGTTTATATGCATGATAATTTAGACCATGTAGGTAAAATAGCAGGGAAAAAATAAAAAGTATAAGAATGTGTTGAACAAATAACAATGATACTAAAAGGACATTTGGGAGTGATTTAATGTTTTCAATTATATGTAGATTTGCAACCTGCTTTGTTGCTAAGTCTGCCAACTTAGATAGATATCATAGACCCTAATAAGCTATCATGTAGGTTTTTTTTATATTAAGAAAGGACTTCAGATTGTTTTGGTCCATTATTTTATAGGTGAGAAAATGGAGGACCAGAGTTCAGAGTTACCCTGCAGGTTAGTGCAGAGTCTTGGGTTAAGGATTATGACATCTACTTCTCTGGTTACCACCCAGCATTTACCTGGACACTTAAAAGATGTTAAGTAAATTTTCGTTGGCTAAAATTCATAAGTTGGTGCACTTTCTCACGTTTGTCTGTTATTTTTCAAATCAAAATCAGATCAGTTTTGGAGGCTATCATGTTTTTTACAGATTTGATTTTTAATTATATTTCACATTTCTTTTAACAAAATAATCTCCATTGCAAATCTTTAACATGTGTTTTCTCCATGTGGCTGGGAGAGAACCCTTGCAGTAACAAAAAGCCGGTAAAAGAATGCCAAGTCTGATTGCATCTTTCCTGTGTGATTTAACCATGAAATTTAGTTTACTTATCTATAAATGGAAGGGGTGAGAAAAGCTGATGTCTAACACTTACTTTCTAAACTTACTAAAAACCCTCAATAACAACAAATCAAATAGCCTGATTTAAAAATGGGCAAAGGATTTGAATAGACATTTCTCCAAAGATGAAATCATACACATGATCTTTGAAGAAGTCATATACACTGAAAAGCTGCTCAGTTTCACTAGGCATCAGAGAAATACAAATCAAAACAACAGTGCCTATTAAAAAAATCTCACACCCATTAGGATGACTACCATCAAAAAAACAACATAAGTGTTGATGAGGATGTTGGGAAATTGGAACCTTTGTGTGTACTCTTGGTGGGATCGTGAAGTGGTTCAACGTCTATGGAAAGCAGTATAGTCATTCCTCAAAAAATTAAAAATAGAACTACCCCCATGATGCAGCATTCCCACTTCTGGGTATATATCCAAAATAACTGAAAGCAGGATCTTGAAGTGATATTTACACTCCCACGATCACTGAAGCATTATTCATAATAGCCAAGAGGTAGATGCAACTCAAATGTCTATCAGGAGATGAATGGAAAAACAAAATGTATGTACAATGGAATATTATTCAGCCTTAAACAGAGAGGAAATCCTGGCCCATGGTACAACATGGATAAACCTTGAGGACATTATACTAAGTGAAATAAACCAGTCACAATAAGATAGATACTGTGTGATTCCACTTATAGGAGCTACCTAAAGTGGTTAAATTCACTGAAACAAAGAATGGTGAGTACCACGGACTGAGGGAAGGGAGTAGTAGGAACTGTTGTTCAATAGGTATAGAGTGTCAGTTTTGCAGGATGAAGAAGTTCTGGAGATCTGTTGTACAACAATGTGAAATACTTTATCTGAACTATACACCTTAAAATGGTTAGGATGGTAAATTTTAAGTTCTGTGCTTTTTTTTAACCACAATTTAAAAAACTTTAATATCTGCTTTTATATTATTAAAGAATAAACCTTCCATTTATTCCTTTATTGAAATGTTAATAACTGAATATGTACTATTATCCTATTCTGGTGTCCATATGGGCAGTCCTAAAGGGCTTAAGATATAGAAGAAACTTGTGAAGCTGAGAAAAATATTATTTTTAAATCCTCTTTTTTCTGCCATCTGGAAAAGCCTGCCGCTATTTACTCTAGCGCTGGGACCATTATTAATGCACTAATGAAAAAACAGTGTTTATGTGGCATAGGATGGAAACCTTTACTAATAGGCTGGCCCCATAGCTCCCTGAGATCTTTCTGTTGTTGTCCTTTAGGTTCAGAGCTTCATGAGAGGATGGTTGTGTAGAAGGAAATGGAAGACTATTGTGCAGGATTACATTTGTTCTCCTCATGCTGAAAGTATGAGGAAGAGAAACCAGATTGTGTTCACCATGGTTGAAGCCGAGTCAGAGTATGTTCACCAGCTCTACATCCTAGTCAACGGCTTCCTCCGGCCCCTGCGGATGGCGGCCAGCTCCAAGAAGCCTCCCATCAGCCATGATGATGTCAGCAGCATTTTCCTCAACAGGTTTGTATTGGCATAAATCAAAGAGTCATGTGAAAGACGCATTTTTATTTCTTAAAAGAATTTTTACTGTTTAAAAAAAATTATTTACTCATGAGAGACACACAGAGAGAGGCAGAGACACAGGCAGAGGGAGAAGCAGGCTCCCTTTGGGGGAATTTTTACTATTAATAGGTACCATAAAGTCACCTTTACAGGTGTGTGACATTGAAAATGAGAAAGCTGTCATTTGTGTCTCATTATTTGTCCAAATTTACATGTCTTTATCTTGAATCATGGCATCTAGTTCTCTGATTTGTCTCTATTCGACATGTGTTTTCTTGTCATTGTGTGGGCGTGTGTGTTGGGAAAGATAATCTCCTTCATAAACTGAGGGAAATGGAATGAGTAATGGGTCGTCACATGTAATTTATACAGACGTACTTTAGAAAGAACAATAACAGAGGGCCTGAGAATCTGTAGCAAATTTATTTGCTACTTATAGTGTCCTTCCTGATAAGGATTTATCAGCGAGCAAAGCAGAAATCCCTGCCTTCATGGAACTTAAATTTTGATGTGGGAAGGGAAATAAGGAATGGTGAATAAGAGAAATATGTAGTATATTATGTGGTGATGAGTGTTGTGGAAAAAATCAAGAAGGGGAGAGGACTTTGGGGTGCCTGGGTGTTGTACTTAAAATTTATCTATTTATTTTTGAATATATAACACATTTTCATCATCCAAAATTCAACATGAAGACATCAAATAACTTACTCTTGTCTCTGCCTAGCCCCATTTCCCCCACTTTCCATTTTTAACCATTTTCATTAGTTTCTTACATATCTTTCTAGTGTCTCTTGATGTAGAGCAATCAAATTTGGATGTGGAATCCTATTTTCTTTCTTCTTACACAAAAGGCAATGAACTTTAATATGTACTTGCCTTTTTTCACTTAACAGTATATTCTAGACATCTTCCCATATTGACATCTAAAGAACATTCTATTTTTTTAAAAATCACTATGGGGCAGCCCGGGTGGCTCGGTGGTTTGGCGCCACCTTCAGCCCAGGGCCTGATCCTGGGGTCCCAGGATTGAGTCCCACATGGGGCTCCCTGCATGGAGCCTGCTTCTCCCTCTGCCTGTGTCTCTGCCTCTCTCTCTCTCTCTCTCTCTCTCTCTCTCTCTCTCTCTCATGAATAAACAAATAAAATCTTAAAAAAGATAAAAATAAAAATAATAAAAATAAAATCACTACGTTTTTTTACATTATGTGAATATGCCATAGTTTTTCTATAACCAGTTTTTAGAAAGGCCTCAAAGATAAGTTAACTTTTGAGTAAAGACTTGGAATTGATGAAGCAGCAAGCCATTTGGCTATCTGGGAGAAGAGTGAGGCAAGCAGAGGAGACAGTCTATGCAAAGGGCCTGAGGCCGGGGCAGATCTGGTTTGCTTGTTTTGAGGAACTGACTAAGGATGAAAAGAGGTAACAATAGGACATTGTAAAGATGTTTGCTTTTACTGTAAATAAGATGGGCAGATCCTGGTAACATTTTGAGGAGAGAAGTAGTATCATATAACTCATATTTTAAAATCTCACTCTGGTTTCTCTGTTGAGAATAGAGTGCAGGGAAATCAGTTTGGTGGCGATCTCAATAAACCAGGTGAGAGGTGATTGTAGCAGGGAGGCCTGTTAGGTGGCTATTACAATAATAAAAGCAAAAGATGGTTGTCGTTGGAGGCAGTGATATATGGTTGGATTCCTGGTACATTTTAAAATAGAACCAATGAGATTTTCTGATGAGTTTGATGTGGGGTTTTGAAGGAAAGTCCAAGGTTTTGGGGCTGAACAGCTAGAAGGATAGAGTAACTTCTCACTAAATGGGAAACATTGAGGTATAGAGAGGTTTGGGGGAAAGACAAAGGGTTTTTGTCTCAGACCTCTCAAGCAAGAGGGCTATTATCCATCCATATGGAGAAATCAAGTGAACAGGGACTATATATCAGGGAAGGAGTTTGGGCTGGAGATATAAATTTGAGGCTCCAATAGCATATGGATAGTATTTAAAGCAGTTGGTCTGAAAGAGATTACCAAAGGAGTAAGCACAGATGTGAATGAGAGAAGAGGAATGACACTGAGCCCCAGGAGATTCCAACATTTGGAGATGAAGAAGATGAGGAGGAACTAGCAGAAAAGAATGAAGAAGATCCATTAGGGTCGTAGGATGAAAACCAGCAGAATGGGTTGTCCTGGAAACCAAGGCAAGAACAAATGAACTCCGTCCAAAAGGTCAAATAAAATGGTAACTGAGAACCGACCATGGGTTTAACACAGAGCTTATAGGTAACTTTGAAGAGGGCCATTAGGAGAGCCATTGGAGGGGACTTAGGAGAGAATGGGAGGGAAGGGTAATCATTGGAGAGAGTTGGTATCGAAAACTCAGAGTGTTGCTATAGAGAGGAGCCAATAAACAAGACGGTACCTGGAGGTAAGTTTATACCTGGAGGTATAAAAAAATGTGTGTGTGTTTTGACTTAGGATAAAAATTACATTGATAACAAGGGGGAAATGACGTAGGGTAGAGGAGGATATTGCTGGAGCAATAAACTTGCATAGACAAAAGTGGGTAGAACAGGGTGTACAAGTCAAGTGGGTGCATAGGGAGGGAGGGAATAGTACCTTGATACATATGTCATTAGGAAGCAAGGACATGTGACAGTGCTGATAGAAGGAACGTATTGGGGTTAGATAAGAGGGGAAAGTGTATGATATTGTAGAATAATTGCTACACAGCTGGAAGAGCCTATATTACTCTATTAGGGTGGTGGTCATGACTGTCAGTGAGACTAGTCAGGATGGTTATGTGTTTTTCTTCAGCCACTTTCAGCTGCACTGGTGCAGAGTGGGTGAGTGAGTGGCTTTTTTGGTGTTGTGTGAAGCTAATATGATGACATGAGAAATGAATAGGGGAGTTGAAGGTTATGCAAGGAAGAGATTATAACAGTGAGCCATGGAATCTAAACTGTGCAGAGAGGGAAATGATGGTGCGAGGGGTTTTGGTCAGTGATAAGATGACAGGATCATGCATGAAGGTCCTGGTGATGTAGAAGCCTTTTTGGAGTCAGAGTTCTAAAGGCAGTGAATTGAAAGATCAGAGAACAGTTTGCTTGAAACTGAGATAGGGAGGGGATGTAGTTACTGACAATGACAAGGTCTAAAGTACCATCAAAGGAGTGTTGGTTGAAGTTATTGGAGGGAAAGATGCCAAGAGGAGAGGAGTTCAAAGGCCCTAGAGGCCAGGAGTGTTGTTTTTTGTGCCTATTAGAGTCACCCAGAATTATGACAGGGTAGTATTGGAGAAAGGACTGCCAGCGAGCTGGGAACTTGGAGCTCAGAGCTCAAGGCATTAAAAGAAAGGCTGGGGAGAGTTCTACTCCAAGATAGTGTTTGTTGTAGGAAGGCCCTAAACTCACCTTCTCCAGGGAACACACCAATGACACCTATTAATAGAACAATTCCTCTTGAAGAAGGACTGAGGGCTTGATTGAATAGTTTCTACATAACCAGAGATGGAGAGAAAGGGCAAGAGAACAGCAAGAGGGAGGGAGACATGGTAACAAAGGGAATTGACCCTTGATGCTGCAAAGAACAGTGGGACTGTATTGTACCGAGGGACCAGGAACAGATTCCTCTGGCCTTGGGCAGCGAATAAAAGCTACAGTTTGAAAGAGCAGCTGGCATATAAAAAAGAGACAATGCTAGAACTTTGCCAAGTGGTAGATAAGCCACATGGGTGCTCTCCAAGTCAGAGGGTTTATGTTCCCACCCCACTTTTTAATTTGTTTTTATAAAAACCTGGAAAAAGTAACATATTTGTTCTATTAATGTGTGCTTACACCTACATGCTTGGCTGTATGCTCCCTTAAGGAAGTAACTTAAGTGTCCACCAGTAAACCAATAGATAAGGAAAAAGCACATACACATGAGACGCACACACACTGGAATATTACACAGCCATAAAAAGGGATGAGGTTTTGTTTTGTTTTAGGGTTTTGTTTTTTTTTTGCCTTTTTAGACAACATGGATAGACCTGGAGGGTGTTATACTAAGTGAAATAAGTCAGACTGAGACAAATACCATATGATTCCCCTCAAAAGTGGGATCTAAAATTAAATAAATAAACAAAAAGCAGAATCAGACCTATAAATACAGAGAACAAACTGATGGTTGCCAGAGGAGAGGTGGGTGAAGGGTTGGACAGAATGAGTAAGTGGGAGAGGGAGATACAGGCTTCTAGTTATGAGATGAGTAAATCATGTGAATAAAAAGCAGAGCATAAGGAATACAGTCAATTGTATTATAATAGTGATTTAACAGGACAGATGGTAGTTACACTGTGGTGAGTGTAGTATAATGTATAAACTTGTCCAATCATGAATTATACACATGGAAGTAATGTAATATTGTGTATCAACCATAGTCAAAAAATTGTTTTAAAGAAAAAGAACAAAAATTATTGCAATATATTTTAATTTGTTTTTTAAGGAATTATGGCTTTTTTGCATTTATCTTATTTTACTTTATTTTCTTTTATTATTGAAGTATAACTAACATATAGTGTTACATTAGTTTCAGATGTGTAATGTAATGGTTCAACAATTCTGTTACATTACTCAGTCCTCAACAGGATATGTGTACTCTTCAGTCCCTTTATTTAACCCATCCCCCAGCCTGCATTTATTTTAGGTTATTGCCAATTCTGAGCTAAAGGTTTTTTTTCCCTGGATGCCTGGGTGGCTCAGAGGTTGAGTGTCTGCCTTTCGCGCAGGGTGTGATCCTGGAGATCCGGGATGGAGTCCCACATCAGGCTCCTGCAGAAAGCCTGCTTCTCCCTCTGCCTTTGTTCTCTCTCTCTCTGTGTCTCTCATGAATAAATAAATAAAATCTTTAAAAATAAATAAATAAATAAATAAATAAATAGATAGATAGATATTTTCCCTAGGTTTTTATAAAATGAAGACCCACACTATAAGGAAGATTTTAGGGACTAAATCATAGATCATAATTAAAATGTACTTAAGTATTTAGAAAGGCATGGCTGGGGGGTGTCTATAGATGACTGTGTGGCTGATAGATGGTAACTTTTTTTTTTTAATGATTTATTTATTGGGCGAGGAGGAGCAGAGGGAAAGGGAGAAAGAAAATGTTAAGCAGACTCCCCACTGAGTGCAGACTCCATCTTGGGGCTCAATCTCAAGACCCTGAGGTTACAACCTGTGCTGAAACTAAGAGTCAGGTGCTTAACTGGCTGTGCCACCCAGGCACCCCTGGAAGGTAACTTGTTAACAGGAGATTAGAAGCTTGGCTTCTCTGTTGTGAGGCAGGAGGAAGATCTCCCCACATTAGGTGGCAGTGTCCCGGCTCAAGTGTGTGAGACATCTCAAGGGACCTAAGAGGAGCTCCTGATCGTCAGGCTGCACAGCTAGCCTTTTGGCAAATACTTCCATCACCCAAGCATGTCATTTCAACAGTTCTGATGACAATGGACGGGATTGTAAACTACCCTCTGGTAGTGATGCCAGCAGAGCCTGCACCACCTTGCTCTTAGGCCAGCTCTGGGGATTTGTTTCTGTTGGATTGCGTGATCTGCAATCTGGAAGGCCAGATTTGTCATATTGTTTAAATTCGGAGTCAGGATGTGCTGGGCCTCTTCTTGGAAGGTGAAGCTGTAAGCTCTTCATACACTTAGCAGTTGTTTACTATACCTAGTCCTTAAAGGAGATCTGAAGAGGTATGTTTTTATCTTTTTATTTTATGTATTCATTTTTAAGATACATGTTTTTCTTTTTTTTAAAGAGTTTTTAATTCCAGTTAACATCCTGAAAAGAGATGTTTTTAAAGCTGAGGTTCATAGGGTGTTTGTTGTCACTGCGGCTGTTTAACTGGATTCCTTTCCTTGACTTTAAATGGGAAGGACAGGCTTCCAGTTATGGCAGGTCAGTTTTGAATTTCTTTTTTAACAAAATTATTTGTTTATTTATTCCAGAGAGAGAGAAAGAGAGAGGGAGAGAGAGAGAGAGAGCAGGAGGAGGACAGAGGGTGAGGGACAAGCAGACTGCAAGCCCAGAGCCCAGTGAGGGGCTCCATCTCGGGACTCTGAGATCATGACCTGAGTTGAAACCAAGAGTCTGACACTTAACTGACCGAGTCACCCAGGCACCCCAATTTTTTTGCATTTCAACAGTTTATACTTAAAAAAAACTTACCTACGTGCAGGATTATTTCATTTTTTTCTAACCATCCTAGTATCAAAATATGAAAGTAGATGTATCAGTTATATACATTTTCAGTGTAGGAAAAAGAAGCCTCTCTGTGAGTGGAGGGAGTTCATTGCATACAGAACTCTTTGGAAGAGCTGGAGGAGTAAAGTCAGGGAGCTGCGCCTGGAGCTTTGAGTTCAAGGGCACAGCACTGTAGACATGCTTCAGTAGTGAGGAAGTACAGCACCACCATTGCCACCTGTCTGCCTTTCAGGTCCAGGAAGCTGTTGCCTAGAAACAAAAACACTGAGGCTGGGTGCTGGAATGGCCCCTAAAATACTCACATTTCCGTGACTGACTTTCAGCAACAGGAAGATTGCCTCTACTCCAGCCTCCCATGTCTTACCAAGTGCATCTATTGGTGCAACAGGTGGAACCGAACTCGCATCCAGAACCACATTTACAAGGGAGTCAGGGGAGTGTGGCCTTAGCTCTCCATCGTGTCCACCTAGAAGGAGGAAGGGATGACTAAGATACAATATCTAGATTTGCTTGAAGTCCTTGAACAACAAACACTGCTTAGTTAAAATTTCTTTTTTTTTAAATATTTTATTTATTTATTCCTGAGAGACACACAGAGAGAGGCAGAGACACAGGCAGAGGGAGAAGCAGTCTCCCTGCAGGGAGCCCGATGTGGGACTCGATCCCAGGACCCCAGGATCATGACCTGAGCTGAAGGCAGACACTCAACCACTGAGCTACCCAGGAGCCCCTTAGTTAAAATTTCTATAAAAGAAAAATAAATTATCATCTTCAAGCAGTGTGTATTTTGTTTCCTGGACCATTTGGAAAAAATTAAGGATTTCCCATTGATGTTTACTGTAGTGGAATTTGACTTCAACAAACCAGAGTATCTCACTGACATGAATGATTCTGTGTTTGATTGTGTGGATGTGTTAGTTCAGAAAAGGTTTTAGAGGTTCATTCCAATGGGATAATTGTAATGAGGAAGCAAAAGTTGCTTTGGTAACTACTCTTCTTGAACTTTTTAGAAATTTGGATCTCTAACTATGCCTAGTTCTCATTTTATTTTTTTATTTTTTTGTTTTCAAGAATTTTTTTAATAATAAATTTATTTTTTATTGGTGTTCAGTTTGCCAACATACAGAATAACACCCAGTACTCATCCCGTCAAGTGCCCCCCTCAGTGCCCGTCACCTATTCACCACCACCCCCCGCCCTCCTCCCCTTCCACCACCCCTAGTTCGTTTCCCAGAGTTAGGAGTCTTCATGTTCTGCTCTCTTTCTGATATTTCCTACCCATTTCTTCTCCCTTCCCTTCTATTCCCTTTCACTATTTTTTATATTCTCCAAGTGAATGAGACCATATAATGTTTGTCCTTCTCCGATTGACTTATTTCACTCAGCATAATACCCTCCAGTTCCAACCATGTTGAAGCAAATGGTGGGTATTTGTCATTTCTGATGGCTGAGGAATATTCCATTGTATACATAGACCACATCTTCTTTATCCATTCATCTGTCAATGGACACCGAGGCTCCTTCCACAGTTTGGCTATTGTGGACATTGCTGCTAGAAACATCGGGGTGCAGGTGTCCCAGCGTTTCATTGCATCTGTATCTTTGGGGTAAATCCCCAACAGTGCAATTGCTGGGTCGTAGGGCAGGTCTATTTTTAACTCTTTGAGGAACCTCCACACAGTTTTCCAGAGTGGCTGCACCGGTTCACATTCCCACCAACAGTGTAAGAGGGTTCCCTTTTCTCCGCATCCTCTCCAACATTTGTGGTTTCCTGCCTTGTTAATTTTCCCCATTCTCACTGGTGTGAGGTGGGATCTCATTGTGGTTTGGATTTGTATTTCCCTGATGGCAAGTGATAAAGGGCTACTTTCCAAGATCTATAAAGAACTTACTAAACTCAACACCAAAGAAACAAACAATCCAATCATGAAATGGGCAAAAGACATGAACAGAAATCTCACAGAGGAAGACATAGACATGGCCAACACGCACATGAGAAAATGCTCTGCATCACTAGTTCTTATTTTAGTATCTCCGTGTAGGCTTTGTCCTTTTCAGAGGATTCTTTTACATTTCTGTCTTGGGAGTGGTTACAGTAGAGTACTGCCAAACCTTTGCTATGGATTTTTTCCCCTCTCTCCTGTCAAAACTCATTTTAATGAAAGAGAGAGTACTTTCCCTGAGTTATCATCTAGACTCAAATCTAAGAGGAAAAGGATCATAACTAAATCATTGATTATCAGTTGAAGTGCTACATTCTAACAGTAGAAAGATATTGCTATTACAAATTGATAAGGCGAGTTATATGACAGTGATTTGGTGCTCAGTGTCTTCCAGTGTTTGAAGCTTAGCTCAGAATTTTCTTTGAATTTTTGAGATTGTCTGAAAGATAAATTGCTTTATGAGGGGGAATGCAATCCATGTCATTATTGGGCATAGAGTTGGGAGGCCCTGGGAGACATGTATATCACGTATTTATTAAGGTTTCAAGGACTCGGGGGGCTTCTTTAACAAAATAGACACTTTGCAATGACTGAATTATTTTTCCATTTTTATAGTGAAACGATTATGTTTCTTCATGAAATATTTCACCAAGGACTGAAGGCGAGGATAGCAAACTGGCCTACTTTGATTTTAGGTGAGTGCGTGCTTTAGAGATAAAAGATTTTCTCTTAAGATGGCTACAATTAAAGTAAAATAACTTCAGCATCATTCAGCCTAAGCTGTCTGAATTTCCCTCTTGACCTGTGAGCTTCCTTATGTTCTGGGGATCTGTTTCATTGCCTTTTCAGCCCTTTGCCCTGACCTGTCATAGTGCATTTGGGGCAAGAGTCATGCTCGGCCTCTGGGTGCCTTCCACCAGAACAGTCATTCAGGCATCTGAACTGGGGGCCCTTTGTATGTGTGACCCCTGGTGCTGGGAGCTGCTCTCTGCCATCCCATCAAGTGCACCTCTCCTCATACCTTGGGTAATTTACCAAGGGCAAAGAGAAACTGCCATGTTTACTTCTTTTTTCCAGCTGATCTGTTTGATATTTTGCTCCCCATGTTGAACATTTATCAAGAATTTGTGCGTAATCACCAGTACAGCCTCCAAGTGCTTGCCAATTGTAAGCAAAACAGAGATTTTGACAAACTCTTAAAACAGTATGAAGCCAACCCTGCCTGTGAGGGGAGGATGCTGGAAACGTTCCTGACATATCCAATGTTTCAGGTAAGTCATCTGGGACACATTTTATAAGTCACTGACTCCAGTCTGGTGGTACTGATGCCTGCGGTGACCAGAGCGAGGTGTCCAAGTGTGCCCTGTGGGGAATTACGGCGCGTATGCATCCTCTGTCATCTTGAGCTTGACCCTGAGATAAGCAAACATATGCCACACATTTTCTGTCTCTGTAGTATAGGGAAGAAGAGCAGACATTTTTTTTTTTAAAACCAGGCATTTTTGAAGCGATTAAATCAGGAATGATTTTGTGCAAAGTGGCACAATTTTCTCTTTACAGAAAGCTACCACACAGACTTCTTCCATGGAGTCTCCTCCTCCAGCATGTTTAAAAATATTATCAGGTTTACAGAAATAGGATGCTGTGCAAAAGTTCCAGTATATGCTGGTTGCATAAAAGGCTCCTGCAGGGTGGAGTGACTGCTGGGAAAATCTTTGTTTTCCTGCCCATCCTCCCCGCCCTGTTACAATTGCTATTGGAACTGGTCTCGAGCTTGTCTGGAGCTCTGGAGAGCCAAAGGAGGACGGCTGGGCCACAGAGGCGACCGAGGGTCTGGAGGCCCTGGCAGGACCTGGGCACTCTTGGCCCAGAGTCGGGTTCTTGCATTGAGGCTGGGCCTTGTCCTTACATTTACCTTTTTGGCATTAGAGGGCCCTTGAGGGACCGAGCACACTTGTGTCCTTGCCTGTGTCACAGGCTTTACCATTCCGAGTCCTTGAGTGAGGACTGCGGAAGTCAAAATGTGAATTGAATCTCCCGTTCTTTTGAAAAGCGTTGATTCTGTTCTTTTGGAAAGGCATTGAGTGTTCTCATTGTGGAATTTATGGGGCTTCTGGCCAGGCCTCCAGATTGTCATGTGGTAAACCGATTCTCCTCATCATGTGTTAGGGCTTCTGCGGAGAGCTTTGCCCCCCTACAGGCACCGCTGACCCCAGCAGATCGTTGTGTAGCCTCAGAAAGAAATGTTGCTCTGGGTCATAATTGTTTGTCTTAAAGTTGGTCAGTCCTGCTTGAAATCCTGGAAATCACCGTAGAGGTTGAGTAAGGTTTTTAAAAACCAAAAGGATTCATTTGAAACAACTTAAATATAGTGAAACTTTATAATGTTATTGTGTTGTTTCATGGAACTGAGTTGTTTGAACTCTTGGCCTCTCTGAGGAAATATTTTACAAGAAAAACTTCAAAGCAAACAAAAAAAAGTTTGCTTTTTTTACCTTATAAAAATTGTAATTTAAGCCTTTATTTATAGCAAAACAAACTTTATATAGTGCAGTGTTCTGAGATTCTGTTTGAATATTTGGCATTACTCTGGATGATGATTTAATACTCGAAATTGTGTCTTTCAGGCAACTTTGCCTCGGGTGAATATTCAAAGGTAGAGTTATTAAAGGCACATGGAATATTCAGGGGGTACCTAGCTCCCTTTCTGACAGCCCATTAATGTCTTCCTGAGGCCTATTTAATTTCCCTGGGTGTGATTCTCTCAGTGTTTTATTTTATTTTTTTAGGATTTTATTTATTTATTTATTCATGAGAGACACACAGAGAGAGGCAGAGACATATGCAGAGGGAGAAGGAGGCTCCCTGTGGGGAGCCCAGTGCAGGATTCAACCCCAGGATGCTGGGATCATGACCTGAGCCAAAGGCAGACATCAACCACTGAGCCACCCAGGTGCCCCTCTCTCAGCATTTTAAAGTGACACAACTGCACTTACTTGAGCTTTAGGGGAGGTGTCCAAACATAGTAGAATGTAGGGCCTTGGAAAGTCCTTTGGATCATCTTTAAAGTGCTGAGATACTCTCCTACCACCCTCCCTCCCTTGCCCTGGAGTTTAAGCCCAATGAGAATGACTTGGCATTTTCATTGACTCCAAGGAATTCCCATAATGTCATGAAAGGACCATTGGACTGAGAATCTTTAGAAGACCTGGATGTCTGGCTCACTCTTCAGTTGTAGCATTGAGGAAAATAATTGAAACAATATAAATCTTGGTTTCTTACTCTTAAAATTGAGGCACTTGAGTTCTAGTCATCTCCCAGAGGTCTAGCTGACTCTGTGATTTTAAGGGGACTGCACCAGTTCTTAAAGTTTGGGTTGGGTAACTATGTGGGGGTTCAAGGGGCCTGGTCCAGGAACCCCCATTCCAAGACTGTGGTGGCCCCAAACCCTAGAATTTAGCTGATAGATCAGATGTTGAGGCTCTGTGGCTTCTTCCAGACCAAAGGCACTGGTTCTGAGAGCCTGGAAGGTTCAGGGAGAAACCTCAAACTTGAAGAATTTAGCCAGAGTTGGTCCAAACTGCAGGAAGTGTGCAAATGAAAGAACATTGAGTTGTGCTACTTATTTATTTGCTTCCCTAGAACTATCTTGAATAGACCAAGAGGGGAAACCATCAGAATCTGCTACCTCTAAGAGCCTCATTCTCCTTGATGTCTCTTCTTTGTCTTGTTCGCTTGGTGTCTCTTCTTTCTGCCTTCTCCCTAGGAGTAACCATATGGAACACTTGGGGGAAAATTGCCCTTTCTAGAAGCTTGAAGGTTTTTTTTCTCACTAGGTTCATTCCCTCCTTCTTGTTGCCTTTTGGTTCTTTCACAAATGAGGTGAAATAGTCATGAAAGTGTTTGCTCCCTTGAAGGGTCCAACTGTTTCTACTTCCCCCTGCATACATGTGTCAGCAGTAGTACTTTTGCACTTCCACCTTGCCCTAGTGGAGGCTGGACCTGGGGATGAGGCTGAGGCACTTTACTTTTTTGTGTGTGTGCTATTAGACAACAGTAGAAGAAGTGACCCTAGTTCATGCCACCAAGGGACCTCTGGCCAGACTTTTACTTGAGTCTAGACACGGGGGCAGAGGTTGGTGTGGGCACAGGGAAGAGGCGATTGGCAGCTTTTAGCCTGTATATGTATAGAAGAGAAAGTGTTCTGTGCTCTTTGTCAAGTAAGTCAATTGCTGCTTTTAATGTACTATGTTGAGCTTTGAAACATGGAAGAATTGTAGAATTTGGATGATGTAGTAAATTTATCCTCAATTGAACTATCAGACAAATAAGTCCAAGTGTTGCCAAGAAATTTGTTTATGGAAAATAATGTAGTTATTAATATAATTTTTAATTAGCAAAGACAATGGCTTGACTGGTACTGTTTAAATTGGCTTCAGCTGCTCCTAAGTCCGTAGGTAAGCCAGTCATGAATTCTGCCCCCTACGAGAACTGTTAGATGTTCTCCAGCAAGTAGCCACTTGCCGCTCTAGCCACCTATTTACTGTAACAGCAGAGCAAGCTCATTAACGTCTACAAAGTGACAAGCATTGTTCCATAATTGAGAGGAGAGTTATGATTCATCTGGACAGCACTTACTGTGATTCTTGTTTTTTGGGGGAACAGATTTATAATCAGCTCTTGAATATACAGATGCGCTCTTTGGAGAGCCGTCCACTTTTCTGCAGAATGTCCTTTCCCAGCTTTTTTGGCAGCTTCAGGCTTGTTTGTTCCTCCACCAGAAAGTAGAAAGGGCCAGTTTCTGAATTTCAAATCCATCTACTTGAATCTGAGCCAAGGAGCTCTCTAAAATAGATTTAATTAATGGGGGAAGATCATGAAGCTATTGACTAAACTTAGTTTTGTGGGTTTTCAGTGCTTGCATCGTACATGTCAGGCGCTCCCACTCCTACCTTCTTTGTTATGAAAGATTTAGTGCATTAGCTGTTGTTTGCCTTGATTTTCTTGTATGACTGCTGACTTAGAGGCATACTGGCTTTGTGCGGAAGGGATATTTGAAAGCGTATGTTTCCCAGGGACCTTTACCAGGAGAAGTTTATAGGATGGAGAGGAAGTGTCCTCCACATGTCTTACACAGGGAGGGGTCTCCCTCCTTTAAGGAGTCTGTCTGAACTTCCAAAACATTAATAGGATGACATTCCCTAGGATACGGTCCCAGAGTATCAACTGCAGATCCATGTCTGTGCTGATGGCCCTGCCCTTTGTGCTCACGCGTAAACATAGGCCCTCAGTAGACCACAGTAGGTGACCCAGTGAAGGCCACCCCCTGCACAAGAGCAAAAGCAGATCCGTGGACAGGGCTGCCAACACCTCAGGACAGGATGGAAGGAGCTAGCCACAGCGCTCCAGGAGGCTGTTTTACTTTCTTCCTTCTCAGAAGTCCTTTTGAGGGTTGAGTGAGTCCCCAGGCCCCACAGAGGAGACCGAGTGGGTTTGTGTACCAGTGAGAGCCATGATCATGGCTGGCTCTGTCATGTACTGTGAGACCACCCTGGGCAAGTTACCAGACCGCTTCACGCTTTGTTTCCTCCTTATCTCTGTATAATGGGGACATAACCCTTCTGTTGGTGTGGAGGTTTGGGCGTACACGCCCATTGCAGGCCACGTTATGGCAGCTGTGGTGCATGCATGTCGTTATTAAAGTTAAGCCCACTGCCCCAGCTTTCTAAAAAAATTTTATTTGTAAACCAGTAAATAAATAAGTAGAATTAAAAAATATATATATAAATAAATAAATAAGTAGAATCAGTAAAACTTGAGTTAAATCTCTACTATGTTCATTTAAAATCGTCATATGGCTGGTGGAGTTTCCGCTTTTGACAGAATTTAGATAGTTTATCCATAAACAAAAGTATAAGTAAATAATGTAATTAAACAATACATTTTACTGCTAGAAGGATGAGTTAAGGTAAAGTAGGATGAGAATGTAATAAAGGTGAGTATGTCTTCTCCCAAGTTTAAATTCTTAAAGAGAACATTGCAGTAGGGTTGTGAATTTAAAAAAAAAAAAATGTGGGGCTGCCTGGGTGGGTGGCTCAGTTGGTTATGCATCTGACTTTGCATACATCAAATCACAATCTCAAGGTCCTGGGCTTGAGCTCAGTGTGGGGCTCGGGAGCTTCTCTCTCTCTCTCTCTCTCAAATAAAAAAAATATATAAACAAATATATCTAAAATACGGACTCATGTGACTTGATAATCACTATGTTTCCCTATGAACCAATTTTCAAATCTTATGATTAAGAAATATATGCTTATGTTAAAAATCTAAAGAAACAACTGTTTCCTTGGAGTATAATATTTTATTACTCTTTTCTTGTGCTCTTGGTGAATGTGGATATGTGGATGTGTGTGTGAAGTTTGAAGTGTAATTCATTTGAGAATTGTAAAAGTAGAGTTGAATTTCTCAGACATGATGGTGCACAGGAGAGGATGTCCCAGGGTCACTCATCCTGACCTCTTGCTCATGCTGGCCTTTATTTGCATTTAGATCCCCAGGTATATCATCACACTTCATGAACTCCTAGCTCATACACCTCATGAGCATGTGGAAAGGAAAAGTCTGGAGTTTGCTAAATCGAAACTAGAGGAACTGTCCAGGTATGTAGAGAACTTATAATAAAGGCTTGATTAGAGAAACCAGCGAGTTAGTTTCTATGGAAACCTAATATATATATATCCAGGGAATAAGAAGTGAGACACAGTCCAACTTCTCCGATTCACCTGAACATGAAATGCTAGCTCTTCAGATGCTACTGAATCAGTATAAACGTTAATTTTAACCAAGAAAAAAAAATCAATCTTTGAAAATGGTTTTATAGCATGTGAATTTATGTGATTGAGATTATAGGTGTATTTGCGTTTAAGTTTGAAAATATTAACATTTCTTTTAGCGTAGTAGAAAAACAATTTTTAGTTGTGTCTTTGTGTTCATATTTGGCAAAAAGCTAAGAAATGTGTATTTTGGATTTTTCAGTGACTGCACTGTTTCAGAGAATTATTTACATCCGTATTCCTTTAGCTTATATGGAATAAATGGCGTAAAGGTCTCTAACTTGCTCCACCTCTAAGAAATGGCATCCTAATTTCAATGAAGGGGCTGTCCATAAAATGATATGTTGCTTTCCTGTTGCATTTATAAGCAGCACCCCCAGGGTACTCATTGGTTGGTGACTCACTTGTCATTTAGAACTGTGTTGTACGTTGGGTTTGGTTTGAGTCATGGCTGGTTCAAGCCTGGAGGTCTGTCCTCACAGCCTCAGTTGTACTGATACAAGTTCAAAACTGAGCTTCCCAGATAGAGCTCTTTGCATACCTGCGAGAGCTATACAAAACCTCTCTTCCTGTGATCTGTCCCTGGTGTGTCTGACAGGATAATGCACGATGAAGTGAGTGACACTGAAAACATAAGGAAGAACCTGGCCATAGAAAGAATGATCGTAGAGGGCTGCGATATTTTGCTGGACACCAGCCAAACTTTCATCCGCCAAGGTAAGTCCTTGTTCGGTGGACCCACTGTCTCTAGTGATCTCTGCGACTGTCACATTGTCACTGGCAGATCCTGGCAAGCATTTTGGAGGTGTGTGATTGATACTGTTCGTGCAGGACATCCCCATGGTCTTGACCGAGGCTGTGGCTGAGGCCCACATTTGTGCTGTTTCTTTTCAGGGGCCATGAAAAACAGCAACACAATAATAGTAAAGCACGAGTGGGACAGTAAATTACATTCTGACTGGACTCTCTTCCTCAGTGGACCAGACATTCTCTACAGCTCCAAGGAAGACAGATCGGTCTGGCCGATGAGAGTGGCAGTGCCAGGTGGCGACGATATACAGGCAAAGGCCCAAGAGAAACTTGCATTACTCAAAGCCCTTTCACATAGCGGTGGGGACAATGTCCGAAGTGAAAACAGCTGTCTCTTGTTCCCATTCTTTATCAGCACTTCTGGATCAGCCCCACATGATATGATTTGATTCAGTTGGTGACTCCAGTTGCCAAATGAAATGTCTTTTGACCCCTGCCACGCTTTGGTAATGGTGAACGTATCTTGTATCTTGTTTGTGGGATGTGTGCTTTGCAAGCCTCACCCAGTATATTAAGCTTCTGAAGTGTTCAAGATTTTTGGGCCAGAAACGAGATGCAACAGCCTAATGGTGCATCTCCCTCCGGGGCTCTCACTGCAAAGCGCACTAAGTAAACCTCATCCAAAGTCCTTTTTAAGTGCTTAGGTGTTCTGAGGGAAGGGAGCATGCCCCATGGAGTTGATTTGAGACAACACATCTCACACATTTATAATTTTGAACTTGGTGAGCGGTGGCACATACATTTAGAACTAGAAATAACCTTTAATGTAGCTTCTGTTCATAATGAGCCAATATCATTTGAAGATATTTGCATTTCCATTGCCTACCAAAAATGTGTTGCTTAAATTTTTTTTTACTTCATCAAACAAGACATTATTTGAGCTGTGAACCTACATTTTTGCACAGAATACTTAAAAAATGTAACACGTGCTGTTCTATTTTCCATTATTTGTTGATAAAGAGAGAAATTACACATATGTTAAAGTTTGGAAGTATATTTTAGGAAAGGATAGCTTTTCTCATTTTTGGCTTTTGATACTGATTTTCCTTGAAATGTAGTGGAATATAATGCTAACAGCATCAGGCCTTCCTAATCGCTCTGCGTTGCTCCGCACAGACTGTGTCCCCACGGGGCTTCCTGCCTTCCTGGCCCTTGCCTGCCCGTGTGCCTTCCCGTGTGCTGGCCCCAGTGTGGGGACTGGGAATGCCCCTATCCATCCCTTCCATGCCTGTTGAAGGTCTGCTTGTCCTTCCAGGCTCAGGTCAGACACCTCTAGGGAGCCTTTGACAATTCTCTCCCCTTCCCTCCAGGTAGAATAAATTTACCTTCGTCCCGGTTTCAGGGCCCCTCACTTCTCATGTCTGTGTTTCATCCTCTTGTGTGTTGTAGGTACATGTTTGCACGCCTGGCGCTCCCAGTCATTGTATCTCTGAAGGGCTGTATTTATGAATTCTCTCTTCCTTTATATGCTGCTTTCCATTATAGATACTTGAAAGAGGGGCACTGCATTAAATCAAATTGCTTGTTGAATTGCAGTTTTGATTATTAGATGTCTCGTTTTGTATTTTTCTTGTATTTGGAGTTCATGGAAAAAATACTTATTGACTAGAGCTTTATAATATGTGAGAATGCAAACAAATGTTTCTGTAACCATTATTTTGTTTCTGAAAAGGCTTGTGATTGAAAAGTATTATTATGCATAAATATTTATTTCTACAAACTTAGACTGCTCTTATCTAAGTTTGAAAAAAACATCTCTAATGAAAAATGCTGGGAGGTCGGATACATTGAATAAGTCTTTTTTTTTTCAATGCATCTTGAGGAAAAACCCTCATGAGCCGCCTCTCCCTTTGATTCATGTCCAGATGTTTATTGTTCTCTGCCACATGTTTAAAGCACTTCTATCAGCTATTAATATATCTGATGTTGTTATCGTACTGATGTTGATATAATGATTTGCCTTTATGGTATTTTTCTGTATTGTTTGGTTAGTGTGTTTAGGAATTATTCAATAAAGTTGGTTTTCAAAAATGAGACTGGAACCTGAAAGTAGAAAGGAATCCAATTAACATATAATTTGGGAAGTTTACATTGTTTTGCTTCGGTTGCTCCTATCATCACTTCTACTAAATACCCTTAACAGACTTTAAAACCCAGTGAGATGGGTTTCTTATTCTTTTGAAGTTTGCTGAGTTCTGTTTTCTATGAAATGGACTACAGCCTATCTCTAATTATCTACTAGTATTTGTGTTATTTACTTTTAGGAATGGTTTGAGGTATGTTTCAGGCTGTGTGCATGTGCACGTGTGTACATATGCACAAATATATTGCGGTTTCAGTCTCAAATGAACTGTTATTCTGAGACTAGAAAAAAGAAGCCTTCTGGGTCATCTAATAGGCCTCCTTAGAATAGGGGCATCAGCTAATCTCAAATGTCAACCTGTGGGAATTTAGTTATCAAAATAATAGAAGTTCTATTGTAAATTGATTCTAATTATTAAACAGTTAATGAGCAGGATGCAAAGGATTCTATCATATTATAGTCTGGAAAAGTCGTTTATTTTCCAAAATCTACTCAAACTTTGTTGAACTGAAGTGGAAAAGTCTGGGGCAATTATATGAAGGCAGTATTGCCATGTCAGTGGAGGTCAAATCCCATCTCTTCCACTTCCTTGCTGTAGGATATTGGGTGATTTACTTAGCACCCCTGTGCCTTACTTTGCTCTCGTAGTTAATACTACCCAGCTTTTAGGGCTGTGGTGAAGATTACATGAGCTAACATTGCTCACAAGAATATCTAGACTAATGCCTGGGAGAGTATGATGTAAATTTAAAAGCCAAGATCTAAATTTTGGAGTGAGTTTCTGTTTTTCAATAACATGAAATATATATGAATGTTTAATAGAAGGTAAGGCACTCTAAATTGACCAATTGCACAAAACCCATTATGCAGAGTCAGCATCATGTGGATATGTGAATCAGGATCATTAAGTAAAGGTGACTGAATTCAGAGTGAAAGGCACTGAGAATGAGACCTGGACGTCTGTGGTAGTAACCTAATCATTCCCAGACTTGAAATCCTGTCCTCTCAGTGTAGCAGTGTTCTTTGGAATTGTAACGTGGGGTCTGGGCATGTACCTTCTCAAATACCTAATCCAATAACCTGGAGATTACTCTTTGTTGCCTCTTACTGAGTGGAATGAAGAATCTGGGCATTCGCCCATCTTGGATGCCACTCTTGGGAATTTAGTGATTGAATTAACAGAAGTTTTGTTGTAAATTGACTCTCAATTATTAGGTGACTGATGATAGAGATGCAAAGGACTCTGTCACAGCAATGGCCTGACCCTGAGGAATTACTAATTTAATACCAAATATTCCTTTCATTTGTATTAACTAGAGAGGAACCTCCAAGTCTTATAGTTGTGTTGAAACACCAGGTCAAACATAAAACGAAATGTGAGAAAAATCCCCTATGATTATTTTATGAACTAAACAATAGTGTTGAAATTGCTAACTTTTAATTCTGACGTGTAGATTTCTGTCTATACCTAATGTGCATAGTGAGGAGAACAGTTACAGATCAAGCATATTAGGGTATCGTTGCCAAGGAAACATTTATTTATTTTTACCTCAAAGGTGAAATTCATATTATTAATATATGAGCTAACGATGTGTTCTGTAATTTCTGTTTTACAAAATCATTGAATGCTGGAGGCACTTAACAACGCATGATATTAAGTCTTCATGCACTTGGTTATAACCTTTCTGAAAATGACTCCCAAACCTATTGATCCACCAGGATATTTGTCTTATGCTCCAGTCTTTCACTCCGCCCTAACTGATATCATGGCCCCCATGGCAAAGCTATCAATGTATTGTCTTCTCCCTTCACCCCATCCCTTTCCAAGGGTCAGCTTTCATGTTGCCGAATCCGTTGCCATTTCCTGGCAGTGCCACTCACTGAGGTGTGACCTTAGGAGAGCTGCTTAGCCTCTCAGGCCTCTTGTTTTTCCCTTCTGTGAAAAGAGGGGCAAACCAGGTCTTCCGAAAGAGCTCCTTTGGCCTTGTTTCCACCCTGTGAGCCCCATGAGTACAATCCCTTTGCTATTACTTGCTCATTTACTTCTCTAGGCACTTTGCCTTGTGCTCTCCCCACCCCTCCTCTACTCTACAGATTTAATTACTTGCTGCCTGTGTTCTCTGACAGCTTGCTCCCACCTGCCTCACCTCCTTCTTTCCCTCTCCTCTTGCCCCTTCCCTTCAAGGGAGTCAAGCGTTCTCCTGCCCTTTGTTCCACAGGCCCACGCCCTCCCCCAGGACTCCTTCCACGCTATTCTTTAGCCCCCATGCCCCCCAATAGCTGCCTACTTTGTCTGTCTGGCAGCCCCACCTAAACACTCACCTGAATAGATGGAATCTGCACATGGAGTCTTGGATCCTCACCACCACCACCCCCGCGCCGCCCTCGCACTTCTTTAGATCTCCTTTCAAAAGTAGATGCTATTTAGAATATTTATATGCTAATGTGAACATTTTGTGACCCAAGTCATAGTTTTACCATTTAACATATATGAACAATGTTAGTGGGGTTTTTCCCCACTTATGGATGTTAATCTATGCTCATTTAAAAAAAAAAAAAAGAACACAGAAAATGTATGAAGAGGAAATGAGGTTGCCCACAATCTCATTTTGTAGTGCTGACTCCTGTTAATATTAAAGGGATGAATATGCATTTAATGGTTCTTAAAGCTGCATTTGAGGTAGGTGGTAGATTGAACAAAGAGTAGAAATATTGCTGACTCAAGGTATATTGGAAGTCAAGATATTCACAAGAATCTTTCCTGGTATTTTTTAGTTGGAGATCTAACTTAGATTAGGATTTTATTTTGTGAGGAGAAGGTGGTCATTATTAGGGTGAAATTGCATTTAGTCTACGTAGAGCTTCTCACATTGAATAGAAGAGAGTTTTGCTCACAGAAATGCTCTGGGTATAGAGTTTATAGGAGTTCTTTTCCATTTAGATTCCACAAAGACTCTTCATCACACTTAAGTTTAATTTAATTGTATTCTATTTTTGTGAGAGAATTGGGAGCATAAGCGAGGTAGGGGGGGAGCAGAGGGAGAGGAAGAGACAGAATCCAAGCAGTCTCCTCACCCAGTGCGGAGCCCACATGGGGCTTGATCCCCTGCCCCGAGGTCACAGCCCAAGTGGAAATCAAGAGTCAGACATCCAACCTACTGAACCACCCAGGTGCCCTTATTGCACATAATTTGAATGTAACCTGAAATAGTTGCCCTTTAAAAATTAACCAATTGCATTGACTTGTACAATTGTGTGTTTTTATAATATACATGAATTGTGAATTTTATTTTTTAGATACAAACTCAACTAATGTGCCAGTTTCTACCTTCGCTGCCTCAGGAAGGATAAATCCTATTTTCTTTCTAGTGTGTTATTTTATTATCATATATAATTACACAATGTGTATCTTATTCTTAAGTAAATACATTCATTGAGACCAGACCACTAACGGACAGATGGCCAAAATGCCTTGTTCTTTAAAATCAGTTTGGCTTTCTTTCAAACTTCTTTTAAAGTTTAAAGATGAATAATCAAGTCTAAAGCATTTCACAGAAATAGTAGGAATTAGTTGGGCCCTTAAACACAATACACTGCCTCTTCTGCTCATAGTGTAGCGGATTTCCTTCCAGGGGTGTAGCAAATAAGTCCTTGGTGTCTTGGGAAACAAGCCCTAGAGTTTATTACATCAAGAACAGCTCTCACTTGACATAATTTTAATTGCTATGTATTCTTCACTTTTGTGATCACCAGGTTCTCTTATTCAAGTACCTTCTGTTGAGAGGGGAAAACTTAGTAAAGTTCGCCTGGGTTCATTGTCTTTGAAAAAGGAAGGAGAAAGACAGTGCTTCTTATTTACAAAACACTTTTTAATTTGTACAAGAAGTTCAGGAGGAAAGCTACATCTGCTCAAGGTACGGGTTTTACATGACTATTCCATCTATGTCCATGCACTTGAGAGGCATCCAGGTTAATTTGATTGTGGCTTTCCCACGCCTAGTATCGTAAAACCCAGATTGTCACAAGCACATAGTGAGGTAATGTACAGTTGCTAAGCTTGACATGTACTTTGTTGTCAGTTGTATCCAAAATAATAGAAATTTAAGTGTGTATTTCCATTGAGAAGTGCAATTAAAATCACCTGGAAAGAATTATTACTATTGAGCTGCAAAAATTTTGTTAAATCACGACAGCGTACAGATCTAATATTTGCTAGATGCTTTTTAATCTTGCTCTGTCAAGAGGCAGCAAACCACAGCCTGCGGCCTGTTAATACAGTTTTATTGGAACACAGCCACGCTCATGTGTTTACATATTGTCTGGTTGCTCTCATGCTTTTTTAAATGATAGAATTGAGTAGCTGCGATAGAGATTGTATGGCTTGCAAAGCCTAAAAGATTTACTATCTGGCTCTTCATAGAAAAAGTTTCCCTATCCATACCTTCTGTTATTAGTGCCCAAAATATCATCCAGCACCACGATGATGGCTTTCTACTGCTTCCAGCACTTTCTGCTTGATGGGTTCAGCTGCATTCACTCTCAGGGTGCCTCCCACTCTCCCACAGACTGACTTGCTAAATTTATAAACACTGTGAGTGAGAGGGGTTTGAGGGAGAAGAACCATGTAGTTCAATGAGTTTAATTACTTTTTACACAACTAAATTTAGTTTTGGAACCTATGAAAAATTATTTACGATACAGAACTGTTATGCTTTCTTCCATGGCACTTTGAATCAAAGGTTTATAAATCTGAGCTTCCCAACTCATGCAAGACTGTCAGCCTCTTAATGAGAAATTGGTTTTTTTCCAGACAGGTGGGGTTCTCTCTCTAATAGAATGTACATTGATTGAGGAGCCCGATGCAAGTGATGATGACTGTAAGTCACATTCTATCTCTTAGAATTATAGTAGAATAACAAGGGTTTATGGTTTTTATCTACTGAGAGCTAAGAAGAGCTGCTTAAGGAGGCAGGAAAGGGGTTGAGAATACACTCCCTGAAGTCATTTACATATGAAAAGTTCTGTTGAATCATTTAACCTGTGAACCTTGTTAAAGATTTTATTTATTTATTCATGAGAGACAGAGAGAGAGAAGCAGGCTCCATGCAGGGAGCCCGACTGGGACTCGATCCCAGGTCTCCAGGATCACACCCCAGGTGAAAGCAGCGCTAAACCGCTGAGCCACCGGGGCTGCCCAACTTGTGAACCTTGTTAAACCATCTTTGGGACTTCACATTTTACTGAGTTTGTCTCATGATAGTGACTTTTTAGTGGCAGAGAAGAAAGGAATTGAATTAGAGAGTATTGAAATTCTGTAGATTATGGAAATGAAAAAAAGAGAGAAAGAAAGAAAAAGAAAGGGGGATCCCTGGGTGGCGCAGCGGTTTGGCGCCTGCCTTTGGCCCAGGGCGCGATCCCGGAGACCCGGGATCGAATCCCACGTCGGGCTCCCAGCGCATGGAGCCTGCTTCTCCCTCTGCCTGTGTCTCTGCCTCTCTCTCTCTCTCTGTGACTATCATAAAATTAAAAAAAAAAAAGAAAGAAAAAAAAAAAAGAAAGAAAACAAAACAGGAAGTGACTAGGAGACTGGGATCCTAGTCCTGAGTAACCTGCTGACCTCAGCTTCTTTGTCTGCTTATGAGCTTAGTACAGGCTTCCCCTTGCCCGAGAAGCCCAAGAAGTACCATGTTGCTGAAATGAGATCCAATATTGCCACTAGAACTCTGTGAAAGCAGCTATCACTCGTATCTTTATGTTCACATCTAACTGTTTGCTTTACATGTGTTGAAGCTAAAGGTTCTGGGCAAGTGTTTGGACACCTGGATTTTAAGATAGTAGTGGAGCCTCCTGATTCTGCCCCTTTCACTGTAGTCTTGTTAGCACCTTCACGCCAAGAGAAGGCTGCCTGGATGAGCGACATAAGTCAGGTAAGCAAGTGGCATTTGCCGTAAATTGTGTTCTTGTTTTTCTTTTCTTTTTTTTTTTTTAAGGTTTTATTTATTCATGAGAGACACAGAGAGAGACAAAGAGGCAGAGGGAGAGGGAGAAGCAGGCTCCATGCAGGAAGCCCAATGTGGGACTCAATTCCAGGACCCCGGGATCACGTCCTGAGTCAAAGGCAGACGCTCAACCATTGAGCCACCCAGGCATCCCTGTTGTCATTTTTCTTAATTTCACAACATAAACTTGGAGGGAAAGATTTTTAGTTATTTTGTTTTTATTAAAAAAACTTCCATCTGGTTGCTGTGGTCACTACCATCACCACTGTGTATCTTGCTAGAGCTGGAATCATTTGTCTTTGTTGTTTGTTTTTCTTTGTAAGTTTAACATTTACCTGAAATGTGGTACTTGCATTTTAGTTTCTGGGCATTTTTGTACAAGCTATAAGTGTAATTGGTTGTGTCGAAGAGTGTTTAAAATTGCCCTGTTAGTGATAAATTATCCAATGATCCCCACAATGATCTTTTGTTTCTTTGTTTCTGAGGTAGGAAAATGGTGAGAGATACAAAAACAGCTAACAAGGGCCTTGGTGAGAAATCACAAATTAAAGAATCCCATCAAAGAAAAGTGTCTATAGTATGAAACCTGAAAATGAGCTTTCCTTTATTTCATATAGAAAAAAATTAGGAAATGGATTTACTTACTTTTCCTTGATCGGGAATGCTCAGTTAAGGAATTGCCTTTATTCAGAAATTGGAGATATATCAAAACTAGTTGTGATTGGGCTTAGGCATTCCTAAATCCAAGCTCCACATTAATTTTTACTCCATTAGCCAGCATAGGAGAAAAATGTTCATGTAAGGAAAATATTAAAAGGCTTGGTAATTATTTTCCAAGTTGTTAACTCAAGATTGGGGCAAATGGAAAAAGCTTATACTGTAGATTCAAATACCTTCTTTTCTCTTCTGAAGAGCTCATAGTAATTTATATATAAATCTTAGGTAAAAATATTAATTTTTTTCCGAATGACTAAGAACTGAGGGAAAATAGACAATATAGGGCAAAATATATTTTTTTATGTGTCAAAGAAATTTTACAGACTTAATCTAGTTTGATCCTTACAATGGTATTCTGAAGGTAGACAGAAATATCAGCCCATTTCATAGGTGAGGCACACGAGGTTTGGTGGAAGGCTGTTTGTCCAAAGTTACACAACTGTGTTGAGTCAGGAGTCAAACCTAATCCAGTCAAAACCAAACCTTATTAGCATTCTAAACCTTCTCTACAGGAAGGCTGGATTTTTATGTATATGCCCCAGGATTCCTTTGACGGTGAATAAATAGCTTGAAATGAAGATGCTTCTTTTCTGGCCAAAAAAAGAATGAAAACTTGGGATCTTCTATATTTGCATAATTATATCCTTGTGGTGATTTATTAATACTTTCATTAGCTCCGTGCTGTAAGAATTAATACTTTAGTCCCTGTTTGTAATACATCTCTTACCTTATGAAACTCTGAATCACCCACTGATTCTATGAATGTTTTCTGAGCAATCAACATATACTACCAGGTATCATGTGGGTATCAGGGATATGGCGGTAGTCCCTGGTCTCGAAGAGATAGGCAGGCCAATCGGGAAGAAAGGGCCATGGACAGTGTAATGCAACAACGTAGGTGTTAGGAAGCTAAGATAAGTAAAGCAAATGGGGAGAATAGGAGTAGGCAAAAATGTTTTTCTAGCTGCTTCTAGCTTCTACCTTATGATATAACTGGGGCTCCTAAGATACAGAATTGATAAAAGCTCCAAACCTTCCTTAGCATGCCTGGTGTGGCATTGCTATGGAAGAAAAACCCTTAAGTGCTTGGATGATCCTATAACTGGTTTCTTCAAGAAAGAGTACAATGCTTTGTCTGCCATAAGCATCCAAGTGAGTCTACCTACTTAGACTCCATCTTGAGGCAGAAGTATACAACTTCTTCATATTTTTCCCTAAGTCTCAATGGCTGATATGTTAAATTCTACTAGATTGTGTCTACAAGTGAATTGGAAAATAAAGCTAACAGAAAGTTATATCGTTTTGAGTGCCAATTATATAATTCATGAAATTGCTATTTGATGGAGCCTTGATGTTGTGTGGCTTTGGCATATATTATTACACTCATTCAACAAATATATTTATGCAGTGATACTATATGCCAGGTACTGCTTAGGCACCTGTGATATATCATGAACAAAAGAGGTAACAACAACAAAAATTCCCTGACCTCATACAGCTTACATTTTAGTGAGAGGAAGATCGAAAATAAAGAGTAAATGTAATAAATAAAAGCATACTATTTTATGCTAGAAGGTGATGGGACACGGTAGAAAGGATTGCACTACTGGGGGTAGGTGTGGGTAGGTACACTTTTAAAATGGTGGTCACCTCAGGCTACAGGAGACATCTGAACAAAGACTGTAGCAGGTGATGGAAATACCATACGAGTATGTGAAGAAAGGAAAGTCATTTCAAAGAGAAGGAAGAGCAATTGCAAAGACTCTAAAGTAGGAGGACACTACCTATTTTGAGGAACAACATCAAGTCAGTGTGGTTGAAGTGGAATGTATGAGAGGGAGAATAGGAAAAGAGGAAATCAGGGTGGTAACAAAGGTCCAACCAGGGAGGGCCCCCTAAACCAATGAAAGGTCTTTAGCTTGCACTCGGAGTCAGATGAAAACCTCTTCAAGAATTTGGCAAAGGAATTCCATGATCTGACTTCCTTTTTAAAGGTTTCTTGGCCTCTTGTGTTGCATATAGACTGGGAATGGAGGGTAAGGTTGGAAACAGGATGCTGAATGAGAAGGGTATGGTAGTCATCCAGGTGAGGGTTCTTGAAGGCTCAGATCAGCATAGCAGGAATGGAGTCCGAGATAAGGATTTTGATTCTGGATTCGTTTTGAAGGTAGAGCCAGCAGGGTTTAATTATGGCTTATATTTGGGGTAGGAGAGAAAAAGAAGAGTCAAGGATGTCTTCAGAGTTTTTGGCCTGAGCCACTGGAAGAATAGAGTTGTCATTAACAGAGATTTTGTGGTGAATATCAGAAGCTTACTCCAGATATGTTCAGTCTCAGAAGGCGGTTAGACATTTGTATGGAGTTGTTAAGTAAGCAACTTACTGAGTTGTTAAGTGAGCAATGGTCCAGCACTTAGGGGAGAGGGAGAGGTTCAGGTGGGAAAGTCTGTGTCATCTAGGTCACATTTAAGGCAGTGAGGGTATTGAGACCACCTAGGGAGTAAATAGGGATAGAAGTGAGAAGAGGGCTATGGACTGAGTCAGGGGTCATGGAGAAGACTGAGAAGGTTCCACCAGTGTGGTTGGACAGCCACGAGGGTGTGGTGTCCTGGAAGTCAAGTGACGAAATGTACCAAGGAGGAGGAAGCGGTCATGTGTCAACTGCTCCTAAAAGCTGAGTATAGTACTGAGTGCTCTGAAGTACTCAGCCTTTTTGCCAATGCAAGGTTTCATTAGTGGGTTGTAGGGTTGTGCTATTGATTGAGCCTAGCCAGCTGCCAAGCAGCCTGCATCTCCATTGGCTTTGTTCTCTGCTTAAAATATTTTCATTTTAGGGGGGAAATTATGCAATATACATACAGTGATGGTATTTGTCAGTCTCCCAGTATATCTCTGGACATATTCATTTTTAATAAGATGAGCCCACTGAATGCTTGAAAATGTACTGTTTAATATTTTATTATGTATATGTAAGAATATGGACGTAAAAAGGAAATAATAATACTCCCAATACTCAGCACACTAAATTAATATTTATCAAAGTATTTCCACAGATAACTATGGTAGAGTTGCCTGAGGATTTTTGTAAACTTGCAGATTCCTGAGTCTATATTCCAGACACCCCCCAGGTTTAATAAGCTCCACAGATCACTTTTGCACAATTAAATTGGAGAACCTTTGCTCTGAAAATCAGTGGTTTCCATCTCTAAAACCTCCACAATCCTGCCATACAAAAATAATTTTACAGTTTGGCTCTCAGTGTATATATACATTATTTTCGTGTTTTACCTCATTTGTACCTTTCTGTATTCCTGAAGATTCTTCATATTGGGGTCTTCTAATGGCCATACATACTACCACATTAACATACCTCTTTTCCAGCTTTTCCTAAATAATTGGATATATTCTGGGTTTTAGCATTAATATGTGATGTGGTGCTGCTCATTGTTATACAGGGAGTTACTCTCCCTTTCAAGGTCCCTTGTTGTCCTATCTTCCCTACAGAGGGTCAGGTTGGTACAAAGGGCCTGTTCACTTCCATGACTTCGTGATTCATGACTTGATAGACTGCCAAAATGCAAGAAATCTGTACCTCATCATTTCACTACCTCATCAGCAAGGTATCTGTGCAACTTTTTTCTAAGTCCTGTGCCAATGTTGAGTTTTGTCATATCTATCACATCTTCCTATTTAATGGAAACGTGGTAGGATTCTCCACCGGTTTTAATTTACATTTCTATAATTATCAATGAGATTAACATTTCTACCATTTTTATTTCTTATCTTTTATGCCAGATGGACATCTATTCATTGGAGCTATCCTTATAGACTAGGGAAATAAACATTTTCTTTCAAGTCAAATTATGAATATGTCCTCCGTTATTTCATCATTTTATTTTTGTCACTCTATTTTGCTAGATCTTAATTTTTTTGTGACTTGATTTGAAGCTACCTTGCTAAGTTATTGTACCATGTTACACTAATCACCTATGGCTCTTATTTAAGATAATAAAGTGGTTTCTGAGTATTGATACAATCTCAGTTTCACATAAAGAACTCGATATAAAAATTACGACTATTGGTTTTGCCAGACCTCTTTCTCTGGAGCTATAATTTTTAGGAGTAACAATTGCTTGAATGATTAATTACACCTTTAGTTACACCAGTAAGGCCATAATTAACTGTTGGCACCTCCAACAAAACGAACAAATAGCTAATGGTCTTGACCAATAATTCTTCCCTTTTCATCTATTTATAGGGAAAAATTTGAGGCTGAGGATTTGACCATTTATTTCAATATAGTGCATTCATTTATGCATGTCTTCTTGTCATACATAATAGTGTATTAAACAGATTTTTCTGTAATTATGGGTATTAACTAAAATGCAGAATTAAAATTCACCTCTAAGCTTGGTTTGGGCAGATGTGTGAAAATGTACACCTTGTGTAAAGAAATCTATAGCACTCTCACATGCTTTCTCCCTTAAAATAGCTTCTCTGGAATCAATAGAGAATTTTTTACTTTAAATTAAAAGGTGAATTAAAAGAAAAAAAATGGAATCTAACCTTTCTTCCCGCTACTTAGAAGTGTTAGAAGGTAAAAAGGGTGGAGACATAGTAGACTACGGACCTTTGAACAGGTATTGCCTTAAGCAAGATCCTCAAAAGACCTTGCTGGAGAAGTCATTCTCAACAATTGTCTAAGGACCAATTGCATCAAACTTACACAGGGCTATTGTGAACATACATGTTATACTCTTAATCCTATTAATTTCAAGGTTTAATTCACATAGATTTGATGTGTGCTTAGAGATGTGACACCTAGTTTATCCTGATTCTTCTTGAATGAGTGAACTGTATTCATTTTCCCAGGGCTCAGTCACTTTTCCCCAACATAACTAAAGGACAGGCTTATATGGTCATGAATATATACCATGCTTTGCAATATAAATATATTCATACGTACATTGTTCTGTTATAGTCTAACTTTTTTTATGGAAGGAAACCCTTTCTCCAGTGCAGCATTATTGAAAGTCCCAAATGGAAGTGAGATATAATACTCTTGTTGAAGTAGAGCTGGTGGACACAGAGCCCCCAAGAGTTCTTTTGTTCACCCATGTTGTCGCTGCAGCTTGTCTGTGGAGCCTCTAGGAAATGAGGATTTTTATTACATGGTCTTTGAGCTTTGGTTCAGATTGCAGGTATGTTTTGATTTCCTGAAACCTGAGCATAAGTGAAAACATTTTTTCTCTTGAAAATAATTTTAATGCTTCACACAGTAAATCAGAAAGATTTATGAATGAGAAAGGACACTGGCTAATGAGATGGTCAAGAGTAGTCACATAAACCTCTTTTGGATCTAAAATATTTATCTCAAGTTCCAATTCTGACAATGTAGAGGACTGAGCTGATTTAGTTCCCCCCTAGTTACAAAAACAGAAATGTTTAACATATAAAATCAGTATAATAAAAAAATTAATACATTGGTGATATTTACAGATATAAAAGGAAATCTCTAATACTAAAGAAACTTAAAGTTAGAGCAGAAAGCTTATAAGTTGAAGACATAGAGACCTAGGAATGATTTTAGATTGAGTATTGGTCCCAAGCCTGAGGAGCTTTAGCCAAGGTAGCCTTGGATCCCTTAAAGGAATTAAGCTCCTTAAATAAAGCCTAGATATTGGAAGGGTATCCCTTCCATCAGATAAGAACTCAAAAAGCTCTTCCCATTAGCCCAAAAAAGAAATAAGAAAGTTTGGTTTTGTCTTGGGTTCTGATTTTTCAGAAATCTCCCTTGAAAAAAATGAACGTATTTCTGGCCTATGGGATTTCAAATTTAAATGCACAGTATTCACATGGTGTGAAAAATGCAAACCGAGAAATTAATGTAAAAGCAATTTTTGGCACTGTTGAAATCCTAGGACTGCTTGGTAGGAGCAAACACAAAAGTCATTCCATTAACAACACTTTACAGGGGTCCTGGGATCAAGTCCTCCATCAGTCTCCCCTCAGGGAGCCTGCATCTCCCCCTGCCTGTCTCTCTCTCTCTGTATTTCTCATGAATAAATAAATAAAATCTTAAAAAAAAAAACCCAACACAACACTTTACAATTCAGGCCTCATGACAGTGTGCTCAATATCAAAAATTACAATTATGTGAGTAATTTATCTATCATGAGAGAGTCAGAAAACACAGTGAACAGTAGAATTAATACTGCTGGAACCTCAGATAGTAGAATGGCAACTTGGAAAAGACTATAAAATAAGAATGTTTAAAATATATGAAAGAAAGAAAGAGAGAGGGAGGAAAGAAAGGGAGGAAAAAGAAAAGATTATCATATAAAAAGTCCAGGTTGATCTAAGAACCAAAGAGAAATCTAAACATGGAAACTATAATCCTAAATCATCCTAAAACGGTTGTTTGTGTAACTATGCCATTTGCTTGAAATGTTAAAGGAAACTGAAGGAACATTGTTCATTTTCCACATTTCTCACCAAACACCATCTCTGTCCTCTCATCTTCCTGTGTTGGTGACTCAAGCAGCATCCTCATTGTGCTTTAGAAACCTTGAGAATGAAAAGAAGGCCACTGGGGTAAAGGATCACTTATCCCATGTCTTCTCCCCCCGTGTGTAAGTCCGGTCCTTATATAACACTCTTTCCCATGCCCTCACCCTCCACCAATCAACCTCTTTACACCATTTAATTACTGTTATAAATCACTATGCCGTATCCTAGTAACTAGAGATAATTTTTGATTTGAAAAATGGCTTAAATCTTTTCTCATTTTCTGTTTTGTTCAAAGGAAATATGTGTAATTCAAAATAAATCCTTCTCTAACCCTTCTCTAGTTGCAGAGGGAATTTTTAAATTGATAAGGCAAAAGTAAATAAGGCAGTGGAAATTAGCAAAAGTTCTTGAATTTCCTCCTCTAGAGAAAAGAGAGAAATGATGAATAGGGCTTTATGCATTCCAGAAAGAGGAGAAAGTACACAATGCATCCTCATCAAATCAACATGGTGCCAATAGAAACTGCTAGAGAGACTAGTAAAATGTGGGAATTTGTCGGCAAAAAACACCTCAGAGGCAGGCATAGAGTTTACTAGTGATCTAGAAGATGAATTCCATCCAAGAAAGCCATCATTTCTACTCAGCCTGCCCCAGACCATCCTCGGGCAGAGAATGAATACAGCAGAGGCAATTACTGTCAGAAGGTATAAACCTCTCAACTGGTGCAGCTACTGACAGAGAATTGTCATGATGTGACACTGAGGCCAGAGTCCTTAGGAAATACATTCCAGGAGAATACAGCTCTTATACCTATCCTCAGGTATTCGCCAGGTGCACAGTTTTGGTATCTAGATATTGAATCTGTTCATCAAAGTATAATGTTTCCTGCTGCTGTGTGTGTGTGCGCGCACAGATGAAATGAGAAACTAAACTTGTTTTTGTGGCTATAAACAATTCTGAGAATATATGATCTGCCCAGGTTTGCATGTGGATTGTAATTGTTTATTTTTTCATTTCACAGTGTGTGGACAATATACGGTGTAATGGTTTAATGACTATAGTATTTGAGGAGAATTCCAAAGTTACTGTGCCCCATATGATTAAGTAAGTGTAATAATCCTTTCCCTTACATTTTAATCAAGTCGAATTGGTAAAGAAGATAAAGCCCTGCATAAAATATTGCTTCAGTAGTATTCCACTTCATTTTTATGAGTATGTTTCTTGACAGGAATGTGATAATTCATGGTATGCTACTTTAAATCATAAGACTTTCAAAATGGCTTTTCATAGTTTATTGATCCATAGCATTAAAAATGTTTTTTATACTGTTACATGTGCTTTCGTTCAAGACAAAAAGCCTAATGAGATTTTTCAAGTTCAGTATAGAAAGTTGTGACAGCCAGATGTATCCAAGGTCAGAAGCTGGGTCTCAAAGGATGGCAGATTCTTCTGGCATCTTCCCAGTGGGTATGAATCGTATTACTCGGATTTGGTTGTAGAGATATATATTTAGATTTCGAAGGCACTTGACATGAGTCAACTGGTCTTCCCATGGTATGTTTACCTACTGCTCATACGTGGATTTGCCCAGGTCTGTCATCATGCTCTTTCTCTATTTTGTTAACAAAACATATCCTATAAGGTGATCAATAGGGAAACTGTAGTTTAAAATGAGAAGTGGTATCATTAACTATGTGCCATTGCTCTCTGTATTAATGCTTTTGTCTCTACATACTTTTTTCTATTCCAAATTCGGGAAGTGTTTCAGGAGTATTTCGAAGCTGACCAAATTGTTCCCTGTTCTCATTTTTTTTTTTTTTTTGGTTATTTGCAGCTCAAATTCTAAGAATAAAACGTATTTTTGAAAGCAGTCCTGTTATATCTTTTTAAAAAAAGTTACACGAAAACTAAGAAAATATTTGTCTTCTATGCATTTTTAATGTGGATTTTTTTTTAGGTCTGAGCTGTTTGTGCTAAGGCAATAAATAACATTAATTTTCCTCTTTTGATAGGTAATAAGTATGCTTAGCACCATCCCAACAGTATAGCTTTTAGAACTTACTAATTATTGTATCAGATGAAGGCAGTATACATTATACTATTGAGATGAAGGCAGTGTACATTATACTATTGCTGTAATTATTACAGGAAAATATAAACTGTAAGAGAATGATAATATTTTAAATTACTGGTCAAATTTAAAAACATTTTAGGTAGAATCATTTTAAGGTTCCAGGGCAAAGATTCCTTTAGCATTAAGTTATTTTTGGTTTTTAATACAGTATAGTTTTTTTAACCACATTATTTAAAAATGTATGATGCTAAGATTAAGACCAGGTATGCAGTATTCAACCAAAAGGTCTAAATTGTGACTTAATTTTTAAATTCACATCACTGGGTTTGATGATTTAAATTTTAAATTTTCTACCATGGGATTCTTATTTTAATATTTCACAAAATAGCCTATGTTACTTTTATTCATTTCTGAAAGTACTTTCTTGAAGGCTAGACAGCCATGAAAGTCCCAACTGCTTTAGAATGAAAATATGTAAGTTGGACATTGTGGCCAAGTTATAAGCTCCTAAACCCTAAGATTACTTCGCGTATGCTAGACATACATTTTGTTGACTTTAAAAACAAATACGGATGCAAACTTCCCTTTTGTGCCTGACTGGTTATGGCTGGAACCCAAATGCATCTTCTGTCCCCTGTGGGGTCAATTTGACCAATGCCCATGTCCAACCTCATTTGTGTAACCACCCCCCACACAGACCAAGCTTTCCCCCTTTCAGGTGCACAGAGTGACCTTGAGTGAATGGAGACTGCTCTTCTGCTAGGGCAGAAACCTGTAGCTCAGGCTGTAAAGGTTTTGTATTAGAGTCATGCACATTTTGATGCCCATCTATCCCATTCTAGCCATAAACCCACAGCAGAGGAAAGTCTCCTATGTTTCTTTGTTTCATTTTTCCCAGCTTCACTGAGTCTAGTTTTCCTCTGTCAGAGGCAAGAGGATAATTTTGCAGTCTCTGTTCCTTCTGATATTCCCTCTGTGGCCCTATTCTACCCTAAGTCCTGTAGTAGTGCCTCCCTGTGCATCTCCTTAGCTACATACCACGAAAAAAAAAAAAAAGAACTTTTTTTGAGAGTTAAAAGAAAAACTATATTAATTGTATCTGTTACTGACATGGCATCACTTTGCAGGCACTCACTTCCCTTTAAAACTTTAGTAATTATAATAGGTGATCTGGGTTTGATGTCTCAAGATTGCTTTTTACAGTATTCACCAGAAAGGAATTGTTATTGTCACAGGAGGCTTAGGTAATGCATTCTACCTTACTGGAGAGTCCCTTAGGAAATAAACACTGTGTTCAGTGTAATAAAAGACAAATAATTTCATTATATTGAATTTATTTTCTTTTCTTAAAAGGAAAATGTAATCATAATTTTGAAGGACAGTGGTGTAATTAGTTTTATTTTAATTTAATGTTGCCACACATATTTTTTCTTCCAGTGTTGTTATTTTTTAAGTAAGCTCCGTGCCCAATGTGGGGGTAGAACTCTCCACCCTGAGATTAAGAGTTTGCGTGCTCTACTGACTGAGCCAGTCAGGTGCCCCATTTTTTCTGATGTTTTGAATCAAGTAATTATGTCAAAAGATGCAAAGCTCTAAACTACCATTAGAATGCAAAATTATGATATTTATTAAGTGGAGATACCCCTTTAAGCAGTGCTTTCCATTTTAGAGTATGGTAGGATAAGGCTTCCTTCCTTTTAATAATAGTTGATCTCACTTTCTTAGAAAATAGAGATTATTATTGAGAAAATGGTTGGGGAGAAAGTGATTACCTTAATCAGTCATCTTCTAGAAGACTGATTGATTCATGAAAGTTCTACGATCTTTCTCCTAATGAGAAAATTAAAAACCATAAAAGTAAAGAATAAGGGTCACATAAAGAGTGGGGGAAAAGAGCCCCACACTATTTTCAAGAATCTCAAAAAGATGCACTTGTGTATTTTCGAGATCAATAATGTGGCTCAAAGTAACAGGCCACCCTTAGTTCCTCAGCAGGGTAAGCTGCTCATTTAAAATGCTCTTTTGAGCCTGCAAATGAAGTACTTTTGCCTGCACCAAGCATATGTTGGGGTGGGAAGTTTCCAAGAGCAAGCTAAGAAAGTTATTGATTCCTTTTTATTTGAAAGAAAATAAATATATAATTTTAAAACCCTCGAAGTGCTGAAGGGGCTAATTAAGGGTACTCAAAACAAGCGAACTGATTCTAAGCAAGCAGTTGCCTCACTGAACGTTCCTGGCCCTGCAGCATGTCCTTTAATCAAGTGGTGAAATCCAGAACTTCATCGATGGCTTGTTCTGAGATACTGCAGTGGAAGGAACAAAGAGTCTCAGAAGGGAATGCAAAAAGTCTGGGCAGTCCTAATGAAGGTGTGCATTTTTTTGAGCCCCACTTGGATTCCACTTCTGCTTCCAAGCATGTTCTCTTACAAGCTTTGCCTCTCTGTTGGCCTCTTTTGCCCTTTCTAACAAATGTGTGCCACAGGCTGAGGGCTCTGAGCACAGCCAATGATTGTGAGGGCTGCTGTGTGAACCTTCCCCTCAGTGTGCTCATCCACCTGCACATGCTGCTCAGGCACCTGGGGAATCCAGTAGGGTTAAGTAGGTTTTACACGGTGAGGGAAAAAAAAAAAAAAGCAGAACACTGCAGGGGGCAATGGTGAATCTCTACCATTACTCTTTTTTCTTTTGGAATGAAGATATTTTTAACACTACAAAATATTGCAAAATAATGAAGACATAACATTGCACACAATTTATGGATTAAACTGTACTCCTAAAATGGATAGCCCTAAATGCATTAATGAGCCAGGAAGAATGGAATGAATTAAGCATTCAGTTAGAGAAGTTAGAAAAAGAATGACAAAATAAACTAAGAAAGTGTGGAAAGAAAATAAGGACAGGCATGAATACATTAAAATATAGAAAAACAGTAGAATTGATTAAAGAGCCAGCTCTAAAGAGAAAAATACCTAAGACTATAACTTGTTGGTTTAGTTAAGAAAAAAGGGAAGAATATAAATGCACAAAATTAAAAGTGAGGAAAAAAATAACCACAGATATAGCAGTGATATCTGTGTCTTCCTGTCCCCTCTCCCCATCTGTGGGAAGAACATCACCCATTACTTTTTAGGCACACTTCTGATATCCTGATCTAAGATCACAAGCAATGTCCCTGCTAAATAGGGCATTTGGTTTCATTTCCCTAAGAAAACATGATTGATGTAGAGAGAGAAGTAAAGGATAGCAGAATGTACCACCCTAAAACATGCCACTTGGGCATATTGATTGAGCTGTAGGCACTTGAAAAACAGCAAATGCAGGGAGAAACTTTCTCTGAACTCCTCTTATTTGCTACCTAAATACAGATCCTCCAAAAGGCATTCAGTTGTCATAAATTAAGAACCATAATTCAACCTGGTTGAATTTCATCAACCAGGAAGGATTGACTTTTATTGTAGGAGAGGAGACTAGAAGTCAACACCCCACCTGGATGAACTGTCCCTAACTATCATACCTCCCATCTAGTCTCCTAAGGGCCCATTTATCTTTCCTAAAAATCATTTACACTCCTCTAAGAGGCCTGTACCTCTCCCCACACACACACACCTTTTCCATTAGGATGGTACTTAAGCCTGAATTCTAAGCCACCTCTGGGAGTTGCTTATTTTTCCCTGGGTATCTCCCGTGTGTACATGAGAGATGCATGTTAATCAACTTATGTTTGTTTATCTCCTGCTAATCTGTCTTTTATTACAAAAGTCTCCACCAAGAACTCAGAAAGGTAGAGGGAAAATTATTTTTCTTCCCCTGCAGAAGGAATCCACAGAGTGAAATGGATTATTATTACCTTCTCCACAATTAATTCTGACCTTCCTAAATTATAATGATTTATTTGGTGTTTTAATAGCCCTGCCTTCTTGCATGTAATAAGTCATATCAACATCTTTTATCAACTGAAATGGGAAGCCCCCATACAAGTGCATGTGTCCACATTCTGAAATACTCTGTGGCCGAGAGGAAGCCACGTCCTGGTTTTATTCTTATGTTCCTGCTTTGTGCGTAGGTCTGATGCCCGTCTTCATAAAGATGACACCGACATTTGCTTCAGTAAAACACTCAACTCCTGCAAAGTGCCCCAGATCCGCTATGCCAGCGTGGAGCGCCTCCTGGAGCGGCTGACAGACTTACGATTTCTCAGTATCGATTTCCTCAATACCTTTCTGCACACCTATCGTATTTTCACTACGGCAGCTGTGGTGCTGGCAAAACTTTCTGACATATACAAGAGGCCTTTTACCTCCATTCCTGTCAGGTAGGCCCAGGATCTGCCTGTCGTGAAAGTTAGCCCCCCCTGGTCCCTGGGTCTCCACAGGGATGGGAAGACAGACACTCCGCAGAGCTGCTCCTACAGGATTGGCTTGCCTGGGAACTTATATGCCCTGCCTGGAGAAGGGGTGGGTAGAGGTCACAGATGGTTCTCCACAGAGGAAGTTGAGAACCCTAGTGTCCCCAGGTCATCTTTGCTTGCTCCACGATTATTTGGAAGCTAACTCTATTGTTTTAGGCTTTCCTATTATTATTATTATTTTTAACAGTTGTGCTTTTCCAACTTTCACACACATTAAGAATCACCCAAGGGTCTTGTTAAATTGCAGACTGTGATTTAGCGTGTCTGGATAGAGCCTGAATTCTGCATTTCTAACAAGCTCCCCAGAGATACCCGTGCTGCTGGTCTTTGGGCCACAGTTTAGTAAGCAAGGGTTTAGACCCAGTCTAAAAAGTGTCTGTGTTCCTTTTGGAAGTGTGTGGTATATAGGTAGCATTTAAATGAAGGAAATCCAACAACAGAAGTGTGATGATATTGTGGCCTTTTCATGTAGGGAACATGTTCTGAATGATATCAGGGGAATAGTTTTTACTTGGCTATAATCTGTTAATAGCTTCTGCTCTCACTTTTAGGTCATTAGAATTGTTTTTTGCTACCAGCCAGAACAATAGAGGTGAACATTTGGTGGATGGCAAATCCCCACGCTTGTGTCGCAAATTCTCTTCCCCCCCACCGCTGGCTGTGTCCAGGACGTCCTCCCCAGTGAGGGCCAGAAAGCTGTCCTTGACTTCTCCATTGAACTCAAGGATAGGAGCGTTGGACCTGACCACCTGTTCAGCATCCAGTAGTCCTACCGCCACCCACAGCCCCGCTGCCTCCCCACCACCGCACACCGGGAAGGTACCGTTGGATCTTAGCAGAGGCCTTCCTTCTCCAGAGCAAAGCCCGGGATCTGTAGAAGAGCACGTGGATAACCCCCGCATGGATCTGTGTAACAAGCTAAAACGAAGTATTCAAAGAGGTATTACCCAGCTGCCACACCCCATGTTTGCTGCCGGCCCCCTTTCCCACCATTCCTTCTGGAACCCCACATCCCTTTCTTTATAGTTTTCCTACTTCTTTGTAGAAAGTAGAATGAATACAATGGCTAGTTAGAAGAGGAAATTCCTGTAGGTAACTCTAGCCTGTGTGCAAAGGAGAGCAAAAGTAGCTGTCCTGAGGTCTTCTACGGCAAAAGGCTAATTGTCATCAGTTGTATATGGAAGAACAGAGTTATCTGAATGGTATTACTAGAAGGTTCTTCGTGGAATTTGGTTAAGGCTGGCTGGGTAAAGAGCCTAATATAAAACTTTGTGTAGAGGTAGGTAGTGGGCATCCTCTTCTGTGAACTTGGGCCTCAGAGCCTTCTTCTTCTCCAGGGTCTGCCTTGAACATCTGTAACTGCTTGCAGCCTCCCCTGCTGAGGATGACCCAGCCTGGAAGCATTAAGATGGCTTCTTCAGTTTAGTTACCAAGACAATGCTTCTTCATATTACAACAGAGATGGAAGGAGAAAAATAAAATCTGAGACGATGTTCATTGTCCATGGCACCCCAAATGATTTTTTTTAAAGATGAATTAGATATGTTTTCCTGATTATATTCATTTTCCCTCACAAGGCCTTCAGATCCTATGAGACTTGGATTTTGTCTCTCTCTTCAACCCCTGTTCCTGTCATGCTCCCTCATCTACTAGGATATAGTCACAGGGATTTCCTTTTTGTGTCTCAGAAACACCTCAATCATTTCTGCCTCAGGATTTTCACGCTTTTCTTCCTCCTTCCTGGATATGCAAGTTCCATAAGATCAGCAATATTGTCTATCTTGTTGGTCTCTGTACTCTCGGTGCCTTGGCCAGTTCCTGGCAGGTAGTGAATTTTTGTTTCATGATTGAATCAGGCAAAACATTGAGTTAACTCACCAGCAGTCTTGTGTCCTGTCACCTTACCTTCTGCAGCTTGGTAAAATGTAGGGGTTAGAGGAGGTGACATTTGTTGTGTTTAGTGTTTCTGTGATGAAAATAAAAAAGGTTTCATAGCCAAATTAGCAAACAGCTTTTTTTTTCTTTTGCTGTATGATAACTGATTTATTTACTGATAACATTAAAAAATGGGAATCAAAGTGTCCAAAATTCAACGAAGATCACCCAGATGGAAGCGTAGACTCTTGCTTTTCTACGTGCTTGAAGCTTCTCTGTACTTCCTAACTCAGATAATTTAAAAATAAGCTTCCTGAGTGAAATACTAAATGGAATTTTACCTGGATGGTTGTCATCATGAAAAGTAGCACCCTTTTAAACAAGAAATTCGTTAAATTGACAAGTTAGCAACTAAGGAGGAGGCAAGGAGGAAGATAATTAAAAAGTCATTAGAACAACAAGCTTTAGTAGAATCATAATGGATTCTTCTCAGGAATAATGAGGCAACATGCAAGCTGACAAGTGCAAGTGGGGTTCAATCCAACATTAGTGCCTGTGAACCTCTGTGGAGAGAGTGATTTAGGGAAGTTTAACATAGACTTCCCTGCTCCCCAGCCCCCCCACCCCCAGGTCATGGTGCTCAGGGAAGGACAGGAATTCCCCAGAATATAGGAAGTTCTGTTCCCTCCTTTAAGTGGATGCAGTAAGGAGAGGAGTCTGGGAGTAAGTCTGAATTCTTGTGTTATTTTGAGTTAGGAGAGCTTTAGGATTAGGCATGTTAGTGTCAGACATTCATGGCTTTGAGGTTGGTCTAAATACATGTTACAGTTCTAGAGGTCCTCAGTCAAGTTGCCCGTTGCTCACCATGGCTTGTTACACACAGATGGTGACATTGTTCACCAAGTTCCCTCCTTCTGGTCTCAACTCCGAAGCCCAGAGTGTCGTGATGGTCCAATGTCATGTAAAACCTGTTTGCCCTACTATCTAAGATGAAGGTGTAGTCACTGGTAGGAATCAGTAGTTTTTTTCCTGGATCAAGTTAGACTCAGGGAGACCAAGATAAATAAGAATTAGATTAAGTTCTGCAGGAAGGACACAGACAAATTCTACTAGATGTTGGACAGACGTGCAGTCATTGTGGTCACAACCAGTGGCACTTGGAGAGCTTGTCATGTGGCAGTGTTGATCATTTATTACCAGTGGCTAGAGGTGGAGAAAACCTATGAATGATGGTGTGGTAGAAATATTAGGTTCTCGGGGGGGGGGGGGGCGGCACCTGGGTGGCCCAGTTGGTTGAGCATCAGACTCTTGATTTCTTGGGTCAGGTCATGGTCTCTGGGTCATGAGAAAGAGCCCTGTGTGGCAGTCTGCTTCTATCTCTCTCCTCTCCTTTTGAACCTGCTGCCACTCCTCCCTTCAGCTCCCCATTGCTTGCACATGCAGTCTCTCTTTCTCAAATAAATAAATAAACCTTTAAAAAATATATTAGGTTCTCTGCCACATTAGAAAAGCAGTCGAGGGCAGCCCAGGTGGCTCAGCGGTTTAGCGCTGCCTTCAGCCCAGGGCGTGATCCTGGAGACCCAGGATTGAGTCCCACGTCCGGCTCCCTGCATGGAGCCTGCTTCTCCCTCTGCCTATGTCTCTGCCTCTCTCTCTCTCTCTGTGTGTGTCTCTCACGAATAAATAAATAAAATCTTAAAAAAAAAAAAGAAAAATAGTTGAGGGATTAATAATGTCTCTAGTTTCACCACATTTCTCTGAAAACAAATGATTTACAGTTAGATTCTCAAGAGTTAGTTTATCCACATGGTTCATGAGTGAGAAATGTCATTTTGCTGTTCCAGCTCATCATTAAATGCAGAGCTGTTCTCACTCTGGGTGATGGAGAAGTTCCAGGATTGTGTCAGGTGGGCCCCATGGCACTTGATGAAGCACACTGTAGCCAGACTGTCCTCCAGAGATGCCAGCTCCTTTGTCCTGTGTTTCTTATTCACATCCACTAATGTGCACCCTCTTATCACTCATTGATTGCCCCCCAGGCCTCCCATGCCACTTATTTATTCCATCCCACTTCTTTGCATCATTATTTTTTTAAAAAAAATTTTATTTAAATTCTAGTTAGTTAACATAAAGCACAATGTTGGTTTCAGGAATAGAATTCAGTGGTCTATCACTTGCATACATCCTAACAAGTGCCCTCCTTAATACCCATCCCCCATCTAGCCCATCCCCCACCCACCTCCCTCCATCAACCTTCAGTTTGTTCTCTATTATTAAGAGTCTCTTATGGTTTGCTTCCCTCTCTCTTTCTTTTCCCCCCTCTTGTGTTCATCTGTTTTGTTTCTTAAATTCCATATATGAGTGAAATTATATGGCATTTGTCTTTCTCTGACTGACTTACTTCACTTAGCATAATACACTCTAGCTCCATCCACATCATTGTAAATGACAAGATTTCTTTCAATGGCTGAGTAGTATTCCAACGTATATTGGAGATAAATGTGAGATATATATATCTCACATCTTATTTATTCATCAGTTCATCAGTTCCTGGACATTTGAACTCCTTCCATAGTAGTTTGGCTATTGCTGATAATGCTGCTATAAGCATCGGGGTTCAAATACCCCTTGGAATCTGTATTTTTGTATCTTTTGGATAAATACCCAGTAGTGCAATTACTGAATTGTAGGGTAGTTCTATTTTTAACTTTTTGAGGAAACTCCATACTGTTTTCCATAGTGGCTGCACCAGTTTACATTCCAACTAACAGTGCAAGAGGGTTCCCCTTTCTACACATCCTCACCAATACTTGTTTCTTGTGGTGTTAGTTTTAGCAGTGCTGACAGGTGTGAGGTGGTATCTCATCATGGTTTTGATTTGTATTTCCCTGATGATGAGTGACGTTGATCATCTTTTTATGTGTCTGTTAGTCATCTGGATATCTTCTTTGGAAAAATGTCTATTCATGTCTTCTGCCCCTTTCTTAACCAGATTATTTGGGGTGTTGAGTTTGATAAAATCTGCATAGATTTTGGATACTAACCCTTTATCAGATACATCATTTGCAAATATCTTCCTGTGCTCTGTTCAAGGATTTTTATGGTTTTGGGTGTCACACTCAAGTCTCTAATCCATTTTGAATTTATTTTTATGTATGGTATAAGGAAGTGGTCCAGTTTCATTCTTCTATATGTTGCTGTCCAGTTTCCCTTTATTTGTTGAAGATACTGTCTTTTTTTCCATTGGATATTCTTTCTTGCTTTGTTGAAAATTAGTTGACCATATAGCCCCTTCCTGGGTTCTCTGTTCTGCTCCACATGTCTCCACATCAAGGCAGTACCATATTGCCTTGATGACTGCAGCTTTGTAATATAGGTTGAAGCCCAGAATCATGATGCCTCCAGCTTTGTTTTTCTTTTTCAGGATTACTTTGTCTATTCAAAGTCTTTTGTGATTCCTTACAAATTTTAGGATGGTTTGTTCTAGCTCTGTGAAAAATGCTGGTAGTATTTTGATAGGGATGGCTTTAAATGTGTAGATTGCAGGATGCCTGGGTGGCTCAGTGGTTAAGCGTCTGCCTTCAGCCCAGGGCATGGTCTTGGAGACCTGGGATTGAGTCCCACATTGCGCTCCATGCATGGAGCCTGCTTCTCTCTCTGCCTATGTCTCTGCCTCTCTCTCTGTGTGTGTCTTTCATTAATAAATAAATAAAATCTTCAAAAAAATTAATGTGTAGATTGCCTTGGGTAGTATCAACATTTTCTAATCTATGAGCATGGGATGTCTTTCCATTTATTTATGTCTTCTTCAATTTCTTTCAGAAGTGTTCTATAGTTTCTAGAGTACAGATCTTTTACCTGTTTGGTTAGGTTTATTCCTAGGTATCTTTTGGTTTTTGGTGCAATTGTAAATGGGATTGATTCCTTGATTTATTTTTCTGTTGATTCATTATTGGTGTATAGAATGAAACACATTTCTGTACATTGATTTTATTTATTTGTTTTTAGTGATTTATTTTTTTCAGCAAGAGAGATAATATGATGGGGGAAGGTGGATGGGAGGAG